AAAAAAAAAAAAAAAGCCTGAGTGTGCCAGGCATTGGTGCCTTTGTGCCCCCGACGCGCAGGCTGGGGGCCAAGCAGACAAGCAGCTGCCCTGGTCTGCTCTGCTCCCCACCCCCCAGCAGGTGCAGGCGCTCGCTTCCCTCTCTTCACGCTGTCTCCTCTGCACCTTTGCCTTTGCCTGGGGTTCCCCCAGGTGAAACGCCCATCCCTTCTTGTCTTGGTATGACCCCTTCCCCCCCACCCCCAGTTTGAGCAGCCCCCTGGACATTGCCCCCTTCAGTCTTCTGAGTTCTTCTGGCCAGACGGCCATGCTCCTTGCTGTGTGCTCAGGCCTCAGTCCCCTCCTCCACGCTGCCAGGCCCTGAATTCCCCAGGGCAGGGGCCCGCACCTCCCCTGGCACAGTGTCTGCACCCACCTGGTCCTCACTGGCACATTTTCCGCTCTGCTCCCACCCCAGAGGCGAGCCCAGAGCTAGTCCAGAAACTTCTGTTCCCTAGAAGCAACTGGGGAATTTGGGTCCTTCCAGAGAAAAGTTTTGAGTTGGTGACAGAAGAAGGGAGATGCACACCCACTTGGGGTTTCCCTGGGAGTGGGGCCTGGACGGCCTTGTGTTTACAAGAAGACATGCCACAACCCCTGCTGCCCAGCACCCGGCCTCTGACATTCCCTGTGCAGGGGGCCAAGCCAAAAGATGGTGGACAGAGGCCACTGGGCGTGGGGCACAGAGAACAGCTGCACAGATGCTTCCTCTCTGCCTCTCCCAGGTCCCAGGACCACCCCAAGCCCTCCCCAGGTGACAGGGTCCCTGTGGCCCAAGGGTCTCTCTCCAGGCCAGTGCTCTCTTCTCCCCAGCCAGGGTCCCAATGGCCCTGGCACCTCCACTCCAGCCGCTGACTCCACAGGATGGGGACCATGATGCTCTTCTCTGCAGGAGGCTGAGGCCAAAGACTAGCACAGGCATGAAGACCTCATTCCCCTCCACTTGAGGAAAAGAGGAAAGACCCAGCCTGACGGTCAAGGGGCAAAGAGCCCGCCAGCTCTCTGGCTTGGGGAGTAGGTAGGGATAAGACTGTCAGGAGAGAAGACTCTACAAGAAGCTGAGAAAGCCTGGTGTGAGGCCCACTAAAGGTCCACCCTTCCTTTCTCGGATCTCCCATCTTCTCCCCAGGACAGCACAGACACCCCTACGGGTCATGAAACAGGCCCAAAGACGGTCTGTGCTGCCTGAGGTCGGCCATGGACGGGGAGCACTGCCCAGAGCCGGAGTAGCCCCCCTCCCCAGTGGCCACGGAGGAAGAGAAGCACCACCCCGATCTTTTTGGGCGTCACTCTTTCCTCACTCAGGCCCACTGTGAGGACTGTGCTCCCGGAAAAGACGCGTGGCCATCGCTGGCCATGTCACTTAGTGATGGCTATACTATGCCCAGGATGGGGGTGACGGGAGTGGACACAGCTGGCACAAGGCCCTTCTGAGCTGCCTGGTCACGCAGGCTTAGAAGCCACGTGCCAGAATCAGAATCCTGGGCTGCCTGGAAGGAGGCTGCCCAGCTGGATCGGGCACGGGCCCCCCTTCTGGGTAAGAGACACTTGGGGCTTCAGGGAGCCCCAAATAGATGCCGGCCTGCTGCAGGAAGCCCCACGCAGGGCTCATGGGACGTCTGTGCAGAGTGCCGGCTGTGTGCGGAGCTTGTCTCAGCTTCTCCACTGGCCCTTTCGTTTGTGCTGCACCCCAGAGCAAGATGCCCCCCACTTTGGGGAGATCAGCTTCTGCACAAGTGCAGGTCTGCACTATATGGTGGTTAAAACCTGTCAGGTTCTGGCCCTGGGCTCAGGGTCCAGGAAAGGACTTGTGACCAAAGCTGATGGGCCTAGACCTTTCTCAGAATGAGATGGAGCTGTGGCCTCTCTGCACCCCGAGCCAGGCCCTCAACAGACCCAGCTGAACCCAGAGGCCTGCCTGGCACCCACAGCTGCTCAGGTCCAGGTTAAGAAGCCCCACTTGCCCCCCCGCCACTGCCCCCTCAGCAACCCCCCCCACCCGACCCATGAATTATGTTCCCCTGTCAAAGAGCAGGGATGAGCCCAGTTGAGGATGGAGATTTTTCAGTTCTGCAACTAAATGACCCAGGAAATGTCCCCTGGGAAAGCAGAAGTCTATCCCTGTCATGGCCCCGACACCCCCTTTTGGAGCACCCATTCTCTGGAAAGCCACAAACATTCCAAGATTGGACGTCTGCTGAATCACCTCCAATTCTTCAAGCCCTGCTGGTTTAGGGAAGGATGTGGGGGAGGTAAAGAGGCGGGACAAGAACCCCAAAGAGGTTAAATAGGTCACCTCCACACTGGCCACCCTCACCCTCACCTCCCTCGAGCACAGCCACTCACAGACACCCTGCCCTGACTGTTGAGGCCATGACACCCCTGAAGATGCTGCTCCTGGTCGCCCTCCTCTTGGGGGTTTCCCTGCAGGACACCCAGGCAGGTGAGTGCATGGGTGAGCCATGGGAAGGGAGCAGCGGGGGCCCAGAGACCACAGCAGCAACACAGGGAGGTGTATACTGAGTGTTCGTGTTCCCAAAGGAGGAGCGAGGCCAGTAGGATTCTGAAAGAGGCAAAGGGAAATGAGGATGAGGACGGTGGTGAGCATGATGATGATGATGGGGGGGAGGGGTGGTGATGAAGAAGAGGAGGAAGGGTGTTGACGAGGGGGAGGAGGAGGGTGATGAGGGTGATGATGATGAGGAGGAGGAGGGTGAGCAGGAAGAGGAGGGTAAGGAGGATGGTGAGGAGGAGGGTGATGAGGGTGATGGTGATGAGGAGGAGGAGGGTGAGGAGGAGGGTGAGGAGGAGGGTGAGGAGGAGGGTGATGAGAGTGATGGTGAGGAGGAGGGTAAGAAGGATGGTGAGGAGGATGGTGATGGTGAGGAGGAGGGTGAGGAGGAAGAGAAGGGTAAGGAGGATGGTGAGGAGGAGGGTGATGAGAGTGATGATGAGGAGGAGGGTGAGGAGGAGGGTGATGAGGGTGATAGTGATGATGAGGAGGAGGGTGAGGAGGAGGGTGGTGAGGGTGATGGTGATGAAGAGGATGGTGAGGAGGAGGGTGATGAGTGTGATGGTGATGAGGAGGGTAAGGAGGAGGGTGAGGAGGAGGGTGATGAGAGTGATGGTGAGGAGGAGGGTAAGAAGGATGGTGAGGAGGATGGTGATGGTGAGGAGGAGGGTGAGGAGGAAGAGAAGGGTAAGGAGGATGGTGAGGAGGAGGGTGATGAGTGTGATGGTGATGAGGAGGATGAGGGTGAGGAGGAGGAGGGTTAGGAGGATGTGATGAGGAGGATGAGGAGGATGATGATGAGGAGGGTGGTGGTAGAGAGGAAGAGGAGGGTGAGGAGGAGAAACAGGATGAAGCCCCCCACCCCCACAGAATGGCTTGGTGTGGCACAAAGTGCTGGCTATCTGCCCCGGCTGGGAGGCAGTGACTATGGCATGGACACTGATTTCCAAGCAGCTGGAAGAACACGTCAGGGCACGTTCCTGGAGCTGCAGGAATCCCGGTGTCACCAGTGACACTGGACAATCTACAATTCTCAGAAGTGTGTATTAATGGGTCTTTAATAAAACAAGGGGGGATAAACACACAGGGTGGAGGATTAGTTCCCAGAACACGTGACAAAAGTGATTCCTTTATTCCACGGGGGAAGGAAGGCTCAGATCAGATTGCTGCTATGGAAACAAGCAGGTTGGTGCCCCCCACACTCGGGAACACCCCAGCGGCTGCCTTCCTGACTAGCCGCCTCCCCATAGCTGTGTTTGTTCTCACATCAGCTCCTAGGCCACTGAGAAAGCCCCGGAGGGTGGGTTGGCCAAAGCCACAGCTCACCTCAAGCTACCCTGCACTGTCTATTTGCAAATGCTGGCTCTCACTGTCTATTTGCTGGATCTTTTTTCTCGTGCAAAGATGAGGCAGCAGGAAAGTGTGTCCACGCCAGCCTCCCTCTGTCTCCGTGAGGGGGGTGGTGATGCATGTGCTGTGAGGCAGCAAAGTGATAGGCACGTGATGATTCAGGACACACAGGCACACGTGCAAACAGGTGTGTGCACACACTGCCCCCCCCCGCACGCACACAGAGACCTTAGCCACTCAGGTGTGCACACAGGTGCGGACCCTCACACCTGCCCCACGGAGAAACACGGACGCCCCCCAGCAACCCTCTAGCAGCACCAGACTCACACAACCCCCGAACACACACACAGACACACCAGCTGTCACACACACAGGCACACACAGAAACACTCCCCCCACCCCAGACACCCAAACACGCCCACTTCTGCCTCTTTCTCCCCAGCTCGAGCTCCCAATGTAGGCCTGGCATGCTGCAAGAACTTCTACAGAAAACCCATTCCTCTCCGAAGGCTGGTCGGGTGGGACCGGACCTCAGAAGAGTGCTCCAAGATGGCCATCGTGTGAGTCTGCAGGGAGCCGAGCAAGCATGAGAGCAGGGAGGCTCAGGGCTCCCCGAAAGGCTACTGGCGGGAGGGAGAGGGGGGCAGGCAGGACGAGAGCACCCCTTTGATAATCCTGCTCCTGCACCCCACAGCAGCAGACCCCAAAAGTCCAGCCTGTGAGAGCCAAACTCTTCACTGGCTTTTGGGGAAACTGAGGCCATGAGGAAGGACACCCCAGGTCATGGGGTGGACAGTGCCTCCCCCCAATCAGGCTCAAGCAAGGAGACCTCTGAGCACAGGCCCCTGCTAAGCAGCCCTAGCTCCAGGTGCTGGAAGGTCCTGCAGCCTGGGCTTTCTGGGAAGGCCAGGCCTGGCAGGGACCTTGGGAGGGTCAGGAATCACCGAGGGCAGGGCCTGATGTCCAGGCCCAGACAACAACACCCTGGGTGACTTCAGCGAGGCCTAGTCAGTACGGGGCAAGGTGTGCTCCTGGCCCGGGAGGGCCTTCCATCCTGAGGCCTGGTGGTTTTCTCCCTCTGGTAGGCTTATAACTGTCCAGGGCAAGGCCATCTGTACCGACCCCAAGGACCCAAAGACGAAGAGGGCAATCAAATACTTGCAGAAAGTCACGCGGCCACTTGGCTCCCCTGACTGGGAGTCCTGACTGCCCCCTGGACTTCGGGCCGCCATGCCCACCCCCGGACCCCGAGCTTCCCGGGGCCAGCAGAGGCCCGAGGCGCATGAAGACGTTTCTTTCCAAACTGGAACTGTTCCTTGAAAAAGTAAAGCCTTTCCCCTCAGTCTGGTCAACACGTTCTTCCTACCATGCCAGTCACTCCTGAAGGGCCCACAAAATCTGTTCTTGACCTATCCAAGTCTTAAGAGGGAGAAATGCTGCAAACCACACCAAGGAAGGGGCGGTCCCAGCGAAAGGGGCCCCAGCAGAGGCCCGGCTGAGGGGGCCATCAATGAGCATGACAGGGCCTCAAGGCTCACAGACCCAGCCCCACGGAGCTGGCTGCCCTCCTCTGCCGTGCATGAGAAGTGGGGGGCTGGGAAAGGCTGGCGTCTTCCCCTGACAGCCCCACGCCAACTCTCACTTCAGCCTGCTCTATCACACTTCGCTGCCTGTGTGTTTGGCTCACCTGAGAGGCTCTCAGGGGCAGGTATCAGATCAGGAACCGCAGTATCTGACTCACTCATAGGGAGACAAGTGCTTTATGCATCGTGGACATTGGATTTATATTTTCATCAACAAGCCCCCAGCTGAATCCGCAAGGATCACAAGTGGGAAAGAGAAGTTCCTGAAAACAGTGCCTTGCTAGCACCGTGGGGTTTCAGAATAGCAAAGTGGGACTTAGAATTGGGTGCGCTGATTACCCACCAGGGGGCGCTCCCGCTCCCAACTAAAGCCTGGGACCAGCCTCCAGGCCTGCTGGCGCATAGGAATGGCTAGGGAGGGTTGGGGCGAACCTTGTAACTCATGGGGAACCGTCAGCCTGGAGCCTCAACTCCCCACTCCCCACACTGCAGCTCCAAAGACCCTGCTTCTCCCCTTCCAACTATTTTGGGCTGAAAGGTGGTTTGCTCTGCTGCCCACTCCCCTTACTGCTTTGGGACAGTTGCAGAGAGGGGATGTCCCAACTGTGGGCTGCCAGGTGCTAAACAAAAAGCCTCAGATGTTTATTAAAAGAAAAAAAAAATCCCCCAGCCCCACCTGAGGGCTCTAGTGCTACCAGGCATCTGTGCCCTGAAAGTCCTCAACTGACTTGTCTCCCACTGGCTTCCTCAAATGCAGACTGAGGGTGCTTTTGCCCAGACCTGTCCTGGCTGATACTGCCAACCTGCAAAAAGCCCAACCCCGTCCCCTCAATCAAGACCGACTAGCTGCTCCCCCAAACCCCGCCCCAGGTTCCGCTCTGTTGAGTGGCACAATTTCAAGGCCTGACACAAGTTGCTGACTGGCAAGGCCTATCCAGCTGCTGCCTGGGAGATGCCTCCGGCGGAATCACCTGGCAACAGCAAGGGACCGTCAGTAATGCCCAGGGTGGCCAGCAGGGGGCGGCAGCGTCCCATCAGCAGTGGCAGGGACACCCTGCAGGAATCAAACTGAGCACGTGCTCGTGGTGTCTGCCCAGGGCCCTGCTAACCCAAGGAGGCTCTGTGGCCCAGGGTGTCAGTCCTCCACCTGGATGGAGAGTTTTATCCTTCACCTTGGCCAACCGCACAAGCCTGGCCGGGGGCCAACCGGGCAGCTTGCACCGTCCACATCCAGGAGCACCGGAGCTTGGGGCCGTTACCCACGGCGTGTGACAAACTACCGCTCATCAGGCGGCTTAAAACCTTAGTCTGTGGGCCAGGAGTCCACGCACCGTGCCCGGGGTCTGCTCGGGCCTCGCCAGGCTGAGGGGCTGCTCTGGTCCCTTCAGACTCGAGGGCGTGGGAACCAGGGGTCAGCCCTGCTGACCGCTGGGGCTTGGGCTGACCAGAATGAGGCCAATGCACAGCCACCAGCCGCCAGCAAGCAGGCACGGCAGTGAACAAAGAGAATCAGAGCGAGGACTGGTACCAATGAATACTTTTATTTATTGGTAAGATATAAAAATCTAGGTGTCTCAGACCCACACAATCTACTTGACAAGATGAGCTCCAAGTCTGTGCGGGTAATGAGGAGAGCAGAGGGGTCTCCTACTCAGACCTACTGTGGATTAGGTTTCTGTCCCACCTCCCCTCATGTTCACTGGCGCAGACCCTTCTAGGGAGAAGCCCCGCCCCGAAGAGAGCTGCCCCCGCTGAGACCCTGAGTGTCCAGCCCAGGGTGGGCTCGGACGGCGGTCAGACATGACACACACAGCATCTCCACATGGACACACAGGACAGTTTAATGCCTGCAGGTGAACAGGAGTGACCGCAGGATGCAGACGCGACGCGGGGCGGGTAGGACAGAGCCCAAGGAGTGAGTCCCTGGGGTCCTGAGCAGATGCCGGCTCCGTCACACAGCAGTGCACGCCGAGTCGGCCGCCGCTGGATACGGAGCAGTGGCTCCCGCCCAGCGGACGAGGCGCTCCTGTCACGGGGTGTTAGCATGTAGACGCGGGCGCCCAGGGAGCGCCCCGACACTGGGAGACGGGCCTCTCTGGCACGCGCCCTTCCCCTAACACTAGTGAGGAAGCAGGTCTCCCCAACCCCGGGGCAACGAGGCCTCATGATCATCTTTTGATCTTTTTGATAAACAGCAGCACTACGTAACACGGCACCCCACAGCCAGCTGAGCTCTATTAAGCAACCTTCCAACAAACGGATTTCAAACAGAGCGAACAAGTGTAGAGGAGACGTGGGCCACACAGGTGGGCCCCGAGGGACAGGAGCTGGCCGGCGGGGCGCACGTGCCCCGGGCCAGGGCCACCTAGGCATCAGTGAGGTTGTTCTGGCTCAGCAGCACCTGCTCCCCGGGTTTGAAGGCTGGCATCCCCAGGTAGGGGCAGCTGGCACAGCGGAAAGCATCGCCCAGGTAGCACTGTTGAGAGAAGAGACGGTCATACGGGGAAGCTGTGTCTACTTACCCTGGAGGGCCCGGAAGGATCCCTGACAATGGCCGCAGTGGCCTGCAGGGAGGGCTGGGTGAGCCTGCGGGCCCCACTGGGACCCAAACACTCAGGTTTTAAGATCTCTACTATGGTTAAAAAAAAAAAAGGGCCTAGATGTTCCTGAGCAGGCCCTATTCCCATGTCCTCTGCAGCTGAAATCACAGCCAAATGAGCATTCATCAGGCCCACTGTGAGGTAGGAAGGGGCCAAGAACAGGAAGCATGGCGTGCGTCCCTACAGCACGTGCACGCAGGCACTCTCGGGAGACACCGTCTCCCCCAGGGGCGACACGCGAGCCCTCACACTCCGGCCTGCTGTTAAAGTATCCAGGCAGCAAATCCCTCCCAGCTGGAGCAAGTACTGCTTAGCTGGGGTGGGGCCCGCCCAGGACCCCGGGGAATACAGATACTTACATTTCCGCATGCCGATTTGGGCTGGGAGCTCATCTGTTCCTTCGACTTCTCTTTTTCCAGTTCTTCCGCAAGGCCACAGGTGCTGGGGGGAGATGAGCAGCTGATGAGGGGGAACCTGCCTCCCGCCACCCTGAAACTCCAAACTCGAAGGTGCCAAAACACACTCAGACTTTTCTCTTTTGGGGGGGCGGGGGTGGAGGGGGTAGCTGAGGCCAGGAAGTTGCTAAACGCCTTCTAGAGCCCAAACCACAAGAAAAAAGCTACCTGGAAGAAACAGAGGCAGTGCAGGGAGAAAAAAGCCTTGGAAGGGGCGGTCGCAGTCGCTATCCCCGAGAGAAGAGCTCACAGCCACAAAATAAAAATAGGATGCTATATTTAGGAAAGTTAAGACCCAAAAAAGGATTCTTAGCAATTAGAAACATGATAATAGAAATATTCAACAGCGACTATGGAGGGTAAACTTACAGAAAATAGGGCACACGGAAATGTGAGAAGCAGAATTACAAACCACTCAGAGACCCAACAGGTCGTAGCTCAGCAACAGATACAGAGAAAAGACAAAATTACAAATGAAATTAAAGAAAAATTCCCAGGACTACGGAGGCGACTCTCCAGACAGCAAGGTGCACTGAGGAGCCAGGACAAAACAGAGCGCACTGGAGGCCGTGGCCAGAAGTGTCAGGGCACAGAGGCAGAGCAACCTCTGGGATGGAGAGGCGGTCTGACAAGAAGGGTCCAGGACTCGGAGAAGTCTCAGACGTTTCCTCAGTCACCAAAAAAGAGGACAGCACCACCATCAAATGGATGTAGGAAAGCAATTTTCAACCTAGATTTTTATAGCCAAATCACCATTTATAAGAAAAAAAAAAAGACTTCTCAAACACACAATGCAAAAAACTAAACAACAAAACCCTGCCTCTCAGGAAATGTTCTTAAGAAAGCCGCTACTGGAGGATTTGCTCCGCCAGAGCAAGGAAACTGAGGGAGCAGCAGCGCCGGACGCGGAAGCGGCAGGAGCCAGAGCGGGGATCCCGGGGCAGGCACGAGTGTGCTGCAGCGAGGCGCCGCGCCACCCACCACTCTGCCTGCGACCAGCACGCGGGGAACAGGAGCCCCGACTCTCCGGCCGGCCTCGTGCTGCTAACGCCCAACTTCCCGCCTGGCCCTGACTGCCTGCCGGCCCGGGTCGCTCCCTTCCCCAGCAGCAGTGTTCTGCTCAGGCCTGCTGGGGACAGTGGAGGCTGCGGGGGGCGCGGCGCAGCCCAGCTCCTCTGAGCACGTCCACTGGTGGTTGTGTCCCCCATACCCCCCCCGCTGCTCGACATGAACCCTGCAAATGTGCTGGCTGTGGGGGCCCGTCCCCCCAGCACTAACTCATGGCTCTCCCTCAGCCTTCTCGAAGGAGCTCTTGCGGATTCTCGAAGACGTGGAGACCAGAAGACCCAGCTGGGCTGCGCTCTCTCTGGGAGCCATTGCAGAAAGAGAATATTGACCTCCCACGCCCAGTAAGACTGGGGCTTCACAACCAAGTAACTGGCAGGAGATTTACACACAGGTGGTGAGCTCATCAAAAACACAAGCCTGGCATGGCTGACACCAGCCTAGGGGCATGGCACCTCCTGGCGGGGCCGAGGAAGCACAGAGAGGGCCTCTGAGGCAATCAGGACACGGATGCTCCCTTTAATATTCTTTGAAATGCACCTGCTTAATATACTCTCTGATATGCAAGGGAAACCTCCCATTAAAACACCAATTTTAGACCCTGGAAGGAACTGTGATTTTTTTAAGCAGCAGGGCAGACTGCTCCCGACACTCACCAGTTCTTGCAGGCCTTCCTCTTCTTGCCTTCGCCACAGGAAGGCGCCCGCAGGGAAGCTGGGTCAGGCTTCTTCAGATCTTCTGGATCTAGCAGCTCGTCCGAGTCAATGAGCTCCTGGGGGTGGGGGTGGGGGGAGGGGGGTGGAGGCAGTTAGTGAACAGCGGAGACACCATTGCACTCAAGGTGGCCGACGCCGCGAACCAAGCCATGTGCTGAGGAAGTGTGAGCCGGGCAGGGCTGGGAAGCAAGAGGCACTGTGGAGGCAGAGAGAAGAGGGAAGGGGGCAGGCAGAGCCGAGGGAAAACGGTACGTTTATGTCAAAGTATGAAGGGCTGTCAGTGAGTTCAGGGAAGGGCCAGAGGTGACACAGTGGTGCCACCGTGGCGACAGCGTGCCATCCCTTGGCGAGGAGTGTGGCTTCCACGACAGCGAGCGTGCCTGACTGTCCGGACAGGGAAGCCGACACAGGGCTTTAGTGCCCACTCCTTTCAGGCTGCAAATGCCCACAGGGTCCTGACTGCATCATGTGAAGTGAGAACAAGAAAGTCTGTGGGGAAAAGAGATGCAGGAAGAAATCCGCATCTCGTGTAGCCTCTCCCTCTAAATCACAAGCACCAGTCACAGCCACACCATGGGGCTTCAAGTGTTCACAGCCACCCGCCGAGAGGCCAGCCGAGTGCTGCTTGGCACACCAGGTGGGGCCTAGGAGACACCGGCCACGGCCACTCGTGACTCACCATGTTCTCGTCCTCCATGTCATTGGCCGAGAGGGTCCAGAGCTGGACAGCAGCGGGGTCCACAGCAGGCTTCTCTGAGTCAAGCCCATAAAGAGAAAGAGCCCATGAAAGAGCCAGAAACAAACTGCAAGCACAGTAAGCCCTGAGGCTGGGCTAACCTGGGAGTCAAAAGATTTGGGTTCGAAGCCAGCTCCGCCACGATCAGAGGCCAGGCCTGGGGCCTCGCGGTCCGAACAGAGCGCAGTGTCGGGCATGGCGACAGAAAGCGTTACAAAGCCACACAGCCTGTCTCATGCTCCCCGCTCCCACTCCATGCCGCTCCTCATCTGAGGCTGCACGGCCAGGCGGGGGCGAACAGCCCTCCCAGCACCTGCTGCCCGTGACTGGCAGACTGGCAGACTGGCAGACTGGGCGAGAAAGTAAGAGTGAAAAGCATCACGAACAGCAAAGCTTCCGTGTCCCGGAGCCCGTGAGATGGTAGGCGGCAGTTCCAGAGTGCTGGCAGCAGCGTAGCCCAAGCCAGGCCGATGCAGACCTCAGCCTCCCCACGCCCTGACTAGGCCAGGAGAATGCAAGGAAGGGTCAGACAAGCTGACACCCCCAATTCATGCGGGAGGTCCTCAGATGGGCCTTGGGCTAAGCGTGTCCCTGATCACTGTCCATCACAGTCACCAGCGGACGCTCAGACCTCCGTCGGACAGACCGCTCGTCTGAGCTGATCCTACGTTCCGAGACTGACGCCTGTGGCGAGGATGCCCAAGGCCCTCCCAGGGCCTCAGGCTGCAGTGTGAATCTGTGAATTTCTACAGGAGCAGGAGCAGCGCGCTGGCACCACCACCACCCCGGCGAGGTCATCTGGGGCTGGAGGGACATTAGCTACACTATGTGACTCAGAGAGGCTGAATGAGATTCTTAGCAATGCATCATTTCAGTTCTGGGGCCGCGTATGCCCAGACATGCCTAAGTATTCTTCCATTTGGAAATGACAGACATCAAGGAAGGACATTTATGCAAAGGTGATACAAAAATAGCAGCACTTCATTCAGCTCTCTGGCTCAGTTTCTAGTATGTTCTTCCAGGTACAATCACAGAACAATCCCAGGCCAGCCTTACCTGAAGGTGACTTCTTGGCACCAGAAAGCTTCAGCTGACTAGAAGAACCCACTTCAAAGTTGGGCTTCTTGCCTGTGATTTGCGCAGAGCGCAAGCTGTCGCTCTGGTAGCCCAGGTGCTCTTGCACAGACCGCACCTCCTCGGCGCTCAGGGGCGCCTGCTGCAGCTGCAATGCAGGACGTCAAGAGCATCAGGCCACAGTCCTGTAGACGTGCATCCGCTCACGTGTGGGTTGGCAGAACAGCTCCTGACCCCCACGCACTTTGCCGTGGCCAGACCTAGAGGGCAATGTCAATCTGCGTGTCCACCTCGAGCTACCCTCGCCGACGGTGCAGGCCTTGTCAGGCTATCTGCTCGGTACAGGACACCGTGCTGGGCGTGTGGGGCCCGCGTGGCCACGGAGCACAACCTGCCATGGTCCCTGCAGCAGGGAGGCGACTCCCAGTCTAAGCAGGAGGGCCAGCTCCCCGTGAAGGCAGTGGAAGTTTATATCCTAAGGGGAAAGGAACCGTGGGGGGTGAGGAGTGGGGGTGGCGCAGGGCACTGTACCATGGGAAGCAGCAGCTCCGCTAACGGGAGAAGGAAGGTCGGGTGCTGTCCCATGCCCGACGTGTACAGAGGGTCAATGAGTCACAGTCCACGGGGCACTGCTGCCCCGATACTAATGCTGAGCACGCAGCGAGGTGGCTAAATGCCTAGGCCATTTTATTCTGCTCCCTACTGTCTCTGGTTAACTCTCTCACCCTCCCTCCCCCCCACCTCTGGTCTACACCCCAGTTCTTGTATTCATACATAAAAATAAATTTTAAAAAATACCTAGGCTGCTGGGGGAACATGCTAGTGGCTAAACAAGGGTGTGTGTGTGTGTATTGTGTCCTGACTTATTCTTTTAACAAAGGATGTGTTTGGGGAATTGAGCTCCAGCTCTCACCTATAGTACAAGAGTTAACCCCTATTGCAGGGGTAATCTTAAAGAAAATCTTCCTTGCCATTAAAAAAAAAAAAAAAAGATGTCATGTGTACGTACACACATGCACACATGCATTCAGACAGAAAGCCTGAGTGGTCACCCTGAGGGTCCATGGTACCCTCGAGGGAGAAGACTGAGCAGGAACTGGAACGTCACTGTCTACTGTGTGTTCTTCACTGTTAATTGGGTTTCTGTGAGTATCCTGTTTTAAAAACCTGGGCCCTCCTGGTGGCGCAGCGGGTTAAGGCACAGCACTAAGCTTAAGGCCACTTCCACATGAGTTCGATCCCCGCCTGCCCCGGAGGTGACCACATGGTGTGGCAGACCTCTCCTGACCCACCCGCTGCTCCCCTCAGCAGTGTACTTCGTCAATCTTTCTGTTCTGCTCCCCACTCTGTCTCTGGTGAATCCTCTCACCCTCCGCATCTCTGGCCTGTACCCCGGTTCTGTATAAATAAATAAATTTTTTTCAAAGATTTATTTATTTACGCATATAGAACTGGGGTACAGGCCAGAGGTGCAGGGGCAGTGAGAGGCTTCATCAGAGACAGAGTGGGGAGCAGAACAGGCAGATTGATGAAGTACACTGCTGAGGGGAGCAGCGGGCGGGTCAGGAGAGGTCTGCGTGCCATGTGGATCTCCTCCGAGGCAGGCGGGGATCGAACTCATGCAGAAGTGGCTTTAGCTTCTTAGTGCTGTGCTTTAACTTAACTGCTGCGCCACCAGGGAGGGCCTAAATAAATAAATCTTCAAAAAAAAAGACAGAAAACCTTCCAGTGAAAGAAAAAGCAGATGGCATCAAGCAGCAGGCCTAGGTCAACAGCCCACGCGTGGCCCAACAGTGATCACGCCTGGCACTCCTCTCTGCTGCACACGCAAATGTCAACATCAGAGAAGAGTGGAGAAACAGACACACCTCTATTTCATGTAAGCATTTCTAACAAACTGTCAGAATTGCTTCCTCCAACCTACTCTACCGTCCCCCAAAACCAGAGGCGGAGCTCAGTGGCTGCGTTTCCCTCGGGCCAGGATCTGTGTCCACTCAGAGTTCTGTGTCCCTCCTCCTGCTTCAATGCTCCACCATGCGATCAGGACCGACTCACAGGGGCAAAAGCCACATCTCTCCAAAGGAGATTCGGTCCAGAGTCTGTCCTGAGGCATCGTATATGTTGACATAGGTCAACACATGACACACGTCTCAGCTTGATTCCTGGTCTAAGAGACAGTAAGCACTGCTCCTCCAGGGCTGTCTCTCTACGATTCTCTCTCTGCCACCCGACAGAGACACCGTGTATGCTCACCTAAGGTTTCAAGAAAGCTGCCTACAAACCTACCTCTTTCACCTCCACGAGACCAGAAAGAGTCAGGGCTGAACACAGTTTAGATGGAGTCTTCACTTTGCTGTTGTTAACTGCCAAGAGGAAACCCCCAGTTAATAGCTTTATAGGTCAAAGCAGGAAAAATAATGAAGGTTCTATTCAATTTGGGTCAGCAGATAGCAAGACATCAACTTATTCTGCTTTTCACACACACAAACACAGTATAGTATTCTAATTTGACAAATCCTCCTGTTCAAAATGCTCTTATATGCTCTCAAATGTCATATAAGAATTCTGTTATTATTGTTTCTCATCATGCTTCTTGGGAAAACATAACCTTCCAGGGGTGGTTGGGTGCTAGCTAAGAGACTTAGAAAACCTTCAGAATACAAGTGTTCTCTGAGAAGCTGCGACAAAGGGACACTGCATTCAGCTACCCAAGACTGAAATTCCAGCAGAGAACACTGGGACTTGCTGTATACCTGTCCACACAAACAGCTGTATGTGTTTCCAAATACTCTCATTTCTATGATCTTATTTAATGAAAGAAGTCTTCATATGTTTATGGAAAGTCTAGTCAAAAATTCAGAACGGAGTCACTCTAACAGTTTCACCACTAAACAAAAAACAGGTTTATATTCCTTGGGTTCAAGCATTCATTTCCTAAGTATCAATAATTACCTCATTCCTCCCAGACTTTTAGTCATTGTATCTAACTTTTTATTTTAAAGTAACTATAAATGGACAGGGAGGGCATGGGGGAAGGGGAAAGGTCACAAAGAATCTCAAAGAGCCTTCACCTCGCTTCCGCTATGGTAGCATCTCACATACTATACTGCTCTTGTGGGAGACTGAGTCACCGAGCGTCCCGAGCACCGACGACTTCACCAGCTGACATGCACTGTGTGTGGAGTTGAGTGCAATCCTAGTAACTGGTCTTTCTAACGACGGTTTCCTTACCTATGGCCGTCTCCACGGGTTCTTTCAGAAAAAGGCAGCCCCCGGGCCGAAGGATCCGGGCCATCTCAGCCAAAGTCTCGGCGTTGTGCAGAGCGGCGCTTCCAGGAACCACACCCGACAAAACAACATCGAAGCTGGATTCCTTGTGGGCAGCTGTGAAGAAGGCAGACTCCAGTCAACCATGATCGGGGCTCAGAAGCATCTCCCAGGCCCCCCAAGCCCCTCGGAGGCTGCAGGCCAGGCCCTGGCTGGGGAGGAGAAGCATCTACCTGGGCAGCAAACCTACCACTGTGGACATAAGCTGCTGCCCCGCACCCCCGCAGTCTAACTCCTCAACTTTCCATATATTAAAGGAAAAGGTTGCTGCATAAAGTCCACTCTGTCTCCACTGAAAATAACAGGGTGACTGGCTATCACGTGCCACCCCAAACGTAACCTGGCTATGGAGGCATGGTAGCGACGCAGCTCACCCACGGAGCCCTGGCCAGACCAGTCAGGTACTTACACTGCAACAGCTGGCTGCTGTTCTCCACAGACACTCGGCCCTCGCTGCCAGTTGCCACTTGAAGCTTATCCACCAGCTCTTTCAGAGCCTCCACTGGGGATGACTTATCCCACACCACTGCCACAAACTGGCCAGGGGAGATCCCAAAATCTGCCATTCTCGCAGGGCTGCTGGTACTGAAAAGTGGGATGGGTGGGAGAGACACAGCCCAATTTAGTCTGTGGCGTACTGACATGACTGGAATCACGTTCTAAGGCCCACCTCCCACCAAGGGATGCTGGTGACATCAGACAGTCTTACTGCAGATAGTAGAGTCTGACTAAATAAACCCACTACTGTGGTTTCATAACCACAGCATTCCAAACTGGGCAGGTAGCTTCCTTGGTGAGAATCCTGATTTGCAGCTAAGTGAGAAGGCTGAAGGCAGAAAGATTATTTCCCCTTTGATCTGTGATAACTCCCCTTGAACCGAATGTAACACACAGGACATTAATCAGCCTTGTGTGTTATGTCCAGAAGTATGACTCAGCAAAAAGGCAAAGCAACTGGCTGGCATAACCCAACTGTAAGCTCAAATATTTTTTGAAAGGAGACATGTAGGAAGCAAAGCGAGTACTTTTCCTTTCATCCAAATGTGAAAATTCAATGGCACTGAATCTGCAATGCTCAAAGTATCTATTGATTTTCTTTAGCATTTACTATCAGCCAGACTGTTCAAAGCACTTTACATCCACGATCTCAACTGGGCCTCAGACCACCTACAGGAGCTACGTTACAGTGAGAAAACTGCTGTCAGTGACTCTGCCTGGTCTCACCACTAGAAAGAGCTAAGAGGTAGGATTTGAACCCAAGTCTCTCTGAGAGTAAAGCCCATGCTTTTAACTTACGGAAATTTCCCCCCAGGGCTCAACTTTCTTTTCCATCTGATACTCAGATGAGAACAGAATGTGCTCACCTTGAAATTAGGTCAGAAGACAGCACTGTTCTAGTTCCCCTCCTGTCCTTAAACATTAATGTCCCAACATTTCCAACTAAAGACAGAAGCTGTGGTGGAGGGTCCTGCACTGAACCCATATTCTGCAGGGGTGACAAATTCTCTGGGTCTGGACATAGTGACATCGTTACTACAAGCCTCTTTCTTTAAAGATGTTCTCTTCTGGGCCCTCCCTGGTGAGCCAGGGGTTAGAGACAGCGCCATGTAGCTATCCACAGCCACCACAGCTCAATTTCCATCCCCACCAGGGAGCTGACCCACAGGGCGCAGCAGGCCTCTCCTGTCCTTCCCGCTGCTCCCCTCAGCAGTGGATTTCAGTAGATCTGCCTGTTCTGCTCCCCACTCTGCCTCTGGTGAATCTTCTCACTCCCCACACCTCTGGCCTGTACTCCAGTTCTGTGTGCATACATAAATAAAAATCATACAATATATAAATGAATAATTCTTAAAAATGTTCACTTCTAATGACTTGCTCCTCTTTGCCTACAAAACACACCCAAGGTTAGCCAGTCATCCTTTAATACTACAGCGCTTTGATTTTGTCACTCCTTTCCTAAAGGAGTTACTAAAGGTGTGTTCTACAGCAAAATCAAAACTCCTTAGTCTTCTGGAGTCAGGTTCGCCATAATCTGGCTCCACCTGTATCTCCACCTTTCCAAAGTGAATCCCTCTTTTCTAAAAAACGATTGCCTTTTCTCTGTATCAGACTTTCTGTCTCATTCTTCCATGCAGAATGCCTGCTCTTTTTTTTTATCCTGGCCTCAGAGTAAGCCCTAGTCAAAGGATGCCAAATGTTACAGACAGGCAGGATTCTTTAGTCACTGAGTTGCAGTTTTTAAATCCCCAAAAATTGTGTAACTCAAGAATTGAAACTTTTAAGCTTTTAACTGTCACATGATGTTGAGGAAGAACTCTGCAATCTTTAGGGTGAGCGATAAAAGAACCAGCCATGAGTAAGGACTGCTGGGCAGACAGGCATGAGAAATAAGTGACCCGTTTCCAAAATGATACTGGCACAGGCTCTTCCCTGGGGCGGCACCAAGGAGTGAAAGCTCTCTGTCCAGCAGTAGCTACTGCATCCTTGTACCTGGCTCACAAAAAAGTATCTCAGGAGGGGCCAAAAGCTCCTTACGAAAAGGAAAACAAAGTCATTATCTTGGTTTTTGCAGTAAACTTCACATAGACAAAGTTTTAGAGCCCCCAGGTTTTGAATGCAGATGAACCAAGATTCCACCTCTCACTGGATCTTCTACTTATTAGTATTCGAGATCATGTTCAGGTATTACCTTATTTTCTCATCAAATAAGGTGAGATAATCATCTCATATTTGCAAGCTGCTCTAAAAAGTAAGTGTGAAGATAAACATATAAAAGTACTCAACAGGGTCTGGCACACAGAAGCTCAAACAAAAAGTGTTCCCCAACAGCCTTTACTTCTTAGTAACCAGCTCCTGTGCCTTGTTTCCGGTTGTCCTTTTCTGCCTCTTTAGCCACTCTGCTGGCAGACTCCCCAGGGAGAGACATAAACCTGCTGACTCCCCAGGGAGAGACATAAAGCTGCTTTTTCCCTGTTAGAACTGCTCAGTGTAAGAGCCGTGCTTTGTGACATCTTACACAGCACTCCAATGAGGTTGTCTGAGTAAATTAGAAGGCTGTAAAATGCTTTGTGTTCCACACCCCAAACACTAACTTTCTATGGCCAGAGAGAGCTCATAAAATACATTATTAAACATTAACCCTCCAGACAAGCCTGGTCACTACTTGGTCAGCATTTTCCATATTAAAGGGAAGACAATGTTCTTTTAAATACCTAAAAGCCCAAGTGTGATACTGCCATCATCAGAGTTTTTGCATTGCTGTCAATCTATCTTTAAAGAAAAGATAAGGAACAAATGCCTGGCATCTAAGTCAATGTACTTAGAAGCTGTCACTCAGCCCAGTTTCGTAACTAAAAGGAGGCAGAGTGGACGTCATTCTCACGTCACTGGCCCTGTTTGTTAAGCACCTTTCCAATGTGTGACTGCTGTACACACTTGCCCAGGGCTCTTCTAAAATGAAACTGTAAGGCCGTGAAAACAGATGTCGGGAATAACTTCCAGAGATGTACCTGCTTCTTTTTAAGGCACCCAGTGAAAATCTTAAAGCATCCGGCTCCTCTCAGGCATGAAGGGAGCCAAAAGAAAAAAATAAGATTAAAGTATGGGCTTAACAGTTCAAGCCAAGGACTGAATCCTCTTAAGTCAGGTGTGTTAGGGATTTTGAGAACACTGACAGTTATCAGAAAGGGAATGTTTAGTTAAAATCTATTGAAGCACCATCAGGCACACACAGGGGGTAAAGGTGATAATCAGCTAAGATCAGGAAATTCAAGAAAAGAGAAATGGAAGCCACAGTCTCTAGGCAACCAGGTGTGCCAAAAGTTGAGGTTCAGAAAGGATAACCAACCCAGTGTTGTGTCTACAGGAGCAATCATTTAAAGATGGGTGGACAGAACTGGGAAAACAACACTTCTCAGATAGATCAGCACTTCTCAGACAGACAGTGCTTGATAGAAATCCAGGGATTCCCCATTTGGTTTTGCTCAGGTCTCCCCCCCACAGCCACGTAGGGCAGAGCAGGATGTTTTTTAAAGACTACAATTGGTAGGAGGGATGCAAAACAAAGACCCGGTCTCCTGGCAATGGTATCCGACTACGAGCTTATTAGCACCGATTAGCCCTCAGTGATTCTTAATTCCCAAACCGTTTACCTCTTCCTACTAGAAGCGTCCCTGAGGACAAACATCCCACTGAGCTGCTCTGCATTTGTATTTCTGCTTAGTGACTAGTACATGACCTCCCGGAGCTCGGCAGTCAATGTCAGGACAAATGCCACCCCCTTTCCGAAACTCGCAGATCCTACAAACCACCTGGAGGCATTTGTTAAAACAAGATTCCTGGACTATCTACACCCAGTTACATTGAATCAGCTCTGCGTTAGAAAGACCTGGGAATCCGATACTAACAAGCATCCTGGTTGGTTATTCCGATCTGACAAGTTTGGAAAAGCCGCAATTAGACCAACGCAACGCCTTGCTCCAGGAAAGTCATAAGCAGAAAAGTACAACCCGGGATTCTGGTAGCTGCCCGCCCACCCACCCCGGACCGGGAGGGGAAGAGAAATTTTCAAGGTTTGAGTAGAGGGACTGTGGCCCAAGGTCACAATAGTTGGCTACTGGCAGAGCGGGTCTCCAGGACCGCAGCCCAGGGCTCTTCCTCAAGCCCCTGGAGCCTCAGATCAGAGCCGGCAGCCCGAAAGATGAGCTACCCGGTAAGATCAAGAAGCCAGCGGGCCAGGAGCCCGGGGCCAGGCAGGGCCGGCTTCCCCCGGGGAAAAGCCCCCGTGGTCCTCGAGAAAGCAGCCGCGGCTACGATCCCGCCGAGGGGCGGGCTGGGCGTAAGAGGAGAGCTGATCTGGGGAAGAAGGGGGCCGGGGGGTGGCTACAGGGGTAGGTCCAGCTCCCCCCGCCGCCCAGGTAGCGCTCACCTGCCGCCGGCGGCTCCCTCGGGGCTCCCCAGCAGCCGCCGGCTCCGCGCCTCGCGTCTCTCGCGAGAGAGGGCGGGTCCCGCGCTGCCAGGAGGGCGGAAGTGTCCGCGTCGCATTCCGGAAGTCGCCTGTCACGTCGCTGTGGGCGGTGTGCCCGCTCCCAAGATGGCGGCGGCGCTGTCCGGCGTGTTCGGCCGGGCGGGCTGGAGGCTTCTGCAGCTGCGGTGCCTGCCCGGTGAGGGGGGCGGCAGAGCCGGGGTGGGAGGGGTGGGGAGGGGGCGCGAGACAGACCCGGGCTGGGCGTGGGACGGAAGAGGCCGTCGTGGAGGGCAAGGTGAGGTGAAGGGCATCGGCGCGGAGCTGCTGACGCCGTGGGATTGAGCCGGCTGCTGGCTGACTTTGGCCCCCTGTCTTGGGCTGTGGGTTCCGAGACCTGCCGGGCAGGGTCTGCCATTCCCATTTCGTGGCGCCCGGGAGGGCTGGGTTGCTCGAGGCCGCCCCTCGTGGGTTGCAAACCTGGCTGCCGCTAACCCAGTCTCCCTAAGACCTGTGCCAAGTCCCTGCGCCGTTTAAGAGAGGGAACGTTGTATCACTACCATAACTGGAACAACAGTGTCACCTCCAGAAATAGAATGTATGCATTTGACACACTAACATAAATAGCTTCTCCTGTGTGTCACCTAAAAGCTTCTCCACCGCAGGGTCCAACAACATTGCTTTGGGACCTCCCCTGGCCTTTGCAAAGTTCCATGACTGTTTTCCTTCATACCTTTTTCTCCACACAAACTGAAGTAATGATTTTTTGGGCACACATTGTTGTGTGTTTAAAATCGCTTTGAAATCACTCCTGAGTTAGTCCATGACTGCCCTTGTTTTTTATACAGATGCCAAACATGTTTAGTTTGCTTAAAGTTTAAGCATGCTTAAGATGCAGTAAATCCAATCCGAGGTATTTACCCAAGAAAAAACAAAACATATGCCTACTAAAAAAAGGTTTGTACACATTCTTTTCATTGCAACTTTTTTATAAAAGCCAACGTTGAAATAGCCCGGGGGCCATCAACAGATTAGTGTCTCTTTATGAGCATTAGCAATAAACAGGAACAGTTCTGATTTTCACAGAAATACGAGTCGGTCTAAAAATATGTACTAAGCAAATGTCTTACACAAAGAGAACACATTGTGAGATTCTAATTATATGGACCTATAGGATAGGCAAAACCAGAGTGAGAATTTCTCCAGGGGAGGAGAGGGATCTTTCCAAGATAACGATAATAGTTCCTATCTAGATTGAGAACTGATTGGAGTTCCAGTTATACAAGTGTATACACTTGTCAAAAGTTAGAAGTAGTACATTTAGGATGCATTTTACTACATATACACATCACCTCAGTAAAGGAATGTCAGAGCACAGGGGGAAATGCCCCCATCTCATGGGTTCATCTGCGGCAGGACTACTGAAAGAATTAGAGAGATTAATAGGAGAAAAAGACCCAATTTAATAACATATGTATGGTGAATTTACATAGCTGTTACTTCTAAAGTAAAATAGGGTGAACCAGAGGGTTTATCTTGCACAAAGGGACTTGGGGCATCAAGGTGAGGAAGGGGTTCAATAGGACAAAGAGGGGGTGGTTTCATATAACAAACCTTACTCTGATGCCCAGCCTTAATACAGGTTTCCCCAGTTAACAAAAACATTTCTGGAGATAGCGCTAAATCTCGGCCAGCTCCATTTTTCTTGCTAGGTTATCAGGGCTTTGATTGACCTTGGTACCACAAGCCAAGATAACATATTAGAAAAGGTCTACCTGAACCTTGTGGGGGAGGAGCATCTCCCAAATACTGAATTCGTAGTGAACTCAGTGAATGATGTGCGTGCAGAAATGTTTGGAGATGAAGAATACCGAGCTACACAACAAATACATCCAAAACTAAGATGGAGTGGTGGGTGAAAAGCATGATGTAAATATGTAGAACCTAAGTGGAGGTGCAGGCATTCGTGCCAGGGAGCTTTCAACTTGTGTGTAGTGTGAAAACTTTGATGATAAAATGTTCGGAAAGAAAAACATAGTATGAACCTGTACTTCCTTCCCAAGCCCTTTCCTAAAGTGAAGGGGTGTTGCAAGCGTGACAGCTGAGGAAGCAGAGGTCAGGGACCTGTCCAGAGACACCCGCTAACACTAGGGGGGGTCTCATTCCAGGCCAGTGTTCTTGCCATAAGATATAAATATGTGACATTTCTAAGTTACGTTTGCTTTTTGTTTAAGATTCACAACATTCCCATTAAGCAAACAAAGATTTTTAATTGGCAGTTTTTAAATGAATGTTCTTTGGGGTAAAATTAGCCACCCGCACAGCTGATGTGATAGAAAGGTCTAGAAGCCTGGGCTTGCATCACCTCACACACATTGCCAGTTTACCCAGGATTTTGTGGGTCTGAGACCCAACACTTGGGTATCTGGTTCTGAAGTAGACTTGCCTCGCTTTCCCACTTCCCCATGTGGGTCTCCGTGGGTTTCTCTGCTACGTGTCCCTGACTGACCAGCCCAGTTTCTGATCTAGTGTCCCACTGCCGACCAGCCCTGCTGCCACGTGCCTTCCATGCTTCAGCTCTGCAGCTAAAGTCTTCAGATGAGCAGAAGCAGCAGCCTCCCCCCTCTTTTTCTCAGCAACATTCTGAGTCCCAGGGAAGAGAAGCACCCAATGCAGAGTCTTCTCGTTCACCCCCCAGGTAGGCACAGAACTCCCAGTTCCGTCTTTGGCCATTTGCATGCTGGACTATATCCATGCTTCTCCCTCTCTCCGGTCTCCCTTCTCATCTCCCATCATCTTCCAGGCTACCTGTGAATTGTGTTTTATGGAAAGTGCCTGTACATTCTGAAACATCTAAACAATACAAAGAAATTTACAAAAATGACTACCAGTCCCAAAATCTGAAGTAACTACTAACATTTTGGGGGCTATCCCCTTCTAGATGTTTCTTTAAGCATATTTCACATACAAATCTGAGTATATAATAAATACATTATACTCTATAGATGCTGTTACAGCATCTGTTTTTCGCTCAGTAGTACTTGTTAAATGTCTTTTCACAGTCTTTATTATTTTAATGGTTATATAATAGTCCAACCAATGGTGGGACCAACATTTATTTGCCCTATTATTGGTAAATATTTAGGTCGCCTTCACTGATATGAAAATGATGTAATAAAAGGTGGTGCCTTCAGCAGAGCCAAAGGATCGGCAATATTTTATTACTCACGTGGGGCCAGATTGCCCTCTGAGAGTAGTAAGAATTGACCTTCTCCTTAGATACTTTTGCTTAATCCTGGTACTGAAGAGACTCCTCCAAGCTCTCAAATTAAATGTTCCCAGGCATTTCTTGTGACCTCTTGACTAAAGCACTATTCATTTCCATTGACAGATCCTGTTTGAGGGTCTGCTTTATGCCAGGCCCTGTGAATAGTGCAGCTGTGGTCCTGGACCTCATAGGATTCATCTGGCACAGAGGGGGTTGGAGAAGCAGCCTGCTGAGGGGCAGGAGTGGGGGAACTGGGGAGCCTTGGGGACATTTGCCTTTCCCACCCATCACCACCTCGCAGGACCTTGTGGGAGGGGAGAGAGTGCCAAGTGGTGATTGTGCTGGCATTGAGACAGCAATACTCATACAAAAGTAAACGTCCTTCCAGTGTGTGCTCAGAGGGGCCACGGAGCCTCTGTGGGGCACATTAGAGGTGTGCTGAGCTCTGTCCCCGTGTCTGTCTGGGCTCTGCCTCTCAGGTACACGGATCAGGGCGGCGAGGAGGAGGAAGACCATGAGAGTGAGGAGCAGCTGCAGCACCGCATCCTGACAGCAGCCCTGGAGTTCGTGCCGACCCACGGGTGGACAGCAGAAGCAATAGCCGAAGGAGCCCAGGTGCGTATAGGCGAGGACTGGGCAGCCTCGCCGAGGTCAGCCGGAGGGAGTCACACCAAAGGGCAGCTCAGCTTGAAGCCCTTCACTGCTACAGGATTTCCCAGTAGAGTGAAAATGGCTCTAGTTTTTATTAATTTATTTTTTTAATATTTATTTATTTATGCATAGGAGAGCTGGGGTACAGACCAGAGATGCAAGGGTGAGAGGGTTCCCCAGAGACAGAGTGGGGAGCAGGACAGGTGGATCTACTGAAATCCACTGCTGAGGGGAGCAGCAGGGGAGACAGGAGAGGTCTGCTGCACCGGTGGGTCAGCTCCCTGGCCGGGGATTGAACTCAGGCCATGGCAGTGATAGTGCTGAGATTTAACCCTTGTGCCTCCAGGGAGGCCCCTGGCTCTGTTTTATAAACAAAAAAGAATATACCATGTAACTGGTTCTCGGGAGGCTCCAAAGGCAGTGAGGTGGCACCGCCGGCGCTCAGACCTCACCTAAGGCACCATTGGTTATAAGGAATCAGCATTTTATGCACCAACTGCTGCCTGTCAAGCTCTGCCACTTATTACTTAAAGTGTAAAATGCGTGCATGTTAACAGTGATGAAATAGGACGTGTGAAAACTCCCAACAAGACACCACTTTGGAGAACAAAGCACTTTTTTTCCTCGCTTATTTTTAGCAACCAGCATTTCCTCCTGCATGGAAACAGACTGCTCTAGATTCCACCCCGTTATTTCTCTCGTCTCTTCTCACTCTCTCCCAGGACCACATGTGGTTAACAAGAGTTCCAGTGAAATGTGCATACTACATGGCGCCACTGTATGCTCACTGTGAAAACTTTCAGTAATCCAGACATGAAAAAGAATGCAAAAATCATCAATGATCTTACTATTGAGCAACATTTTGATGTCTGCTTTCAATTTAAAAAAAAAAAGTTTTATTATTACCTTTTCTTTAAATGTCTACTGAGCAAGTAGTGTGCTCAGTCCCAAGGGCATCACAGTGGTTAAAATGGATGCAGTTCTGTCCTGGTTGAACTTCCCTCTAGTGATGTTAGTCAAGTTGTATTTGTAAAATTCGATAAGTTCTGTCAGGGAGAAGGTATTATTGACACACACGATGGAGGCGGCTGATCTAATGCAGGGTAGGGTGAGAAGGGGGGTTGGGAAGGCTTTCAAGAGCTGAGGAATGGAGGAACCGAGGGGTTAAGTCTCAGCGCCATTATGATGGCCTGAGTTCGATCCCAGCTGGGGAGCTGACCCGCATGGTACAGCAGACCCCTCCTGTCTCCCCACTGCCCCCCTCAGCAGTGTACTTCGTCAGTCTGCCTGTTCTGCTCCCCACTCTGTCTCTGGTGCATCCTCTCAGCCCCCTTGTCCCCATACCTCTGACCTACACCCCAGTTCTACACAAAAATAAATAAAATCTTTGAAAAAAAGAAGAGCCAAAGGAAATCATCACACAGAGAAGAAAGATGGGAGGAATGAGCCTGGGGAAAGGTGAGTTGAGGCCAGATCAGCCAAGGTCCAAAGGATCATTTTAAGGAGTGAGGTCTCGCTTATTCTAAGAATAATTGAAGATATGGGATTAAATTTAGACATTTCATTGGATGAGTGGTGGAGGCTGCTGCCAGTCACCTGAGACAGATGAGGGTCCCCTGGCCTAGAGCATCAACAGTGACCCTGACAACAAGGAGGCGCCTGTGGTGACCAATGACAGGGACTTGGGGGTGGGGGCTCGGGTGGCCGAACTGCTTGTTCGCCAGTGTGGGTGATGGGCCGCTTTCTGAGGGTAGGGCCACTGGGGAAGGATCGTGCGTGCAGCCTTGAGCTTTGTGGCATAAGAGAGGTCTTTAGGCCAACCAACGGGCGACCCCACATTCTGCCACGGGTGACGTGGATGCTGCTGGGTGGCGCTGCTGACACTGAAGGCGCCGCCATGACACACAGGGAGCCGTTGTCGCCTGTGTCCGCCACCACTCTTCTCTCTCCCCTGCCCTTCTGCAGTCTCTGGGGCTCTCCAGTGCGGCTGCCAGCATGTTTGGCAATGATGGCAGTGACCTGATACTGCATTTTGTGACCCAGTGCAACGCTCAGCTCAACCGCGTGCTAGAAGAGGAACAGAAGCTGGTGCAGCTGGGCCAGGCAGAGTAAGTCCTCTGCCGTTGCCGCCGGGGGTCTCTCAGGATCGAAGCACTCGGGCCCCACCAGCTGGCACCCGGAGGCCAGTCCACAGTGAACCAGAGTAGCATTGAGCACCCGTTGCTCTGATGGCATCAGCACACAGCCACTTACTTGTCTCTGACATCTGTTCTCTGGCCAGCTTCAGCTGCTGGTGGCCCTGCCTCGGGCTCAGAACAGTGTAGCCGCGAGCCCTTGCCTTTGACCCAGAGACATTGTTTTCTTTTTCCTCTTCCAGGAAGAGGAAGACAGACCAGTTCCTGAGGGACGCAGTGGAAACCAGGCTGAGAATGCTGATCCCGTACATTGAGCACTGGCCCCGGGTACAGAGCCCATGTCCAGGCCCAGGGCAGCAAAGTATTAATATTTACGATTCACAGCACCTTTCTCTCAGAGGACTTGGCACACTGTTTAGAAGTTAGCTCACTCATCGCCACACGCCAGTGTCCTCAATGCCCTCGGGAGCCGGGTTCACACGCGGGGCCGCCAGGGAGGAACTGAAGCACACCAGTTCCTGGAGGCTTAGGAGCCGGGGTGCTGGATCCCATCTCGGGTGGGTCCCAGTGAGCCCATGTGCCGCAGTCCTCAGGGAGGAAGGGTCAGTGAAGGAGATAAGAAAAGCAAGATTTTGCTGGCCATTGATACTGAAAGGTCTGCCATGTTCTAGCTGTGAGCTGGAATTTCTCTTTCAATTGTCCATGTGGTACTTGAGAACCTCCCTCTTTTAAGCTTCCAAGTTCCTCCTGGAAAACATGTAAGAGTGTAGACCACCCTTGCAGGTGAGAAAGTAGTGCCAAAGCACATCAGAGCTGCGGAACACAGATCATCCAGCCTCTGCTGCCCGGTGGGTGGCCAGCGCATGGCAGACCTCCGACCCTTTGCTGTACCCAGTGCCCTGCCTGTGCGGCCACACCTGATTTCCAGGGTCTGTCCTTGACTTGGTCCACCTGGCAGCTAAGCTGGGGGAGGTGCACCTAGTGGCCTCAGGCTGCCTCCTCTACCCTGCCGGCCTGCTTCAGTAAGAGTCCAGCCAGCCCCGGGACTGCCTGAACAGCTCCCCAGGCCCCAGCCAGTGGATTTCAGGGTTAGGAAGGTGGCCGGACCTTGCCCTTCCCGAATGTGTCTTCTGATGGAGGCGTCGCTGGGTTGTGCCACTGCTTGTATTAACTGAAGGATTTTTAGTTTCGGGTAACAGTAATCAGCTTGAGTCAAGCAAAAAAAAAGAAAAACTGGAAGGAACTGATCATGAGGTTCGAGTGGAGACATCGGGGGCCGGAATGCTGCTGGGCCCTGGGCGAGGCCCAGGACTTGGGCCTAGAAGCCATGTCGAGGCTGCGCTCCTCCCCGTGCTGCTTCCTCTGTGACAGTGGGCGCCTTGCCCGTCGCTATCCACATTGAGACCAGCTAGCCCCTCGGCTGTCCACGTTCGTTCCCAAGTCCACCCGCTGGGGACTGAGACTGACCAGGTCACTCAGGGTAGAACCTGCCCCGGCTCCGTCAGCAACAGTCAGGGCTGTGAGCTGCCAGAAATTCGTGCCAGTGGGTGGAAATCTCATCTCAAGATGAGTGTGGGCCCCCTTCCATAGCTCAGGACATGGGGTGCCGGTCACCTTTCCACTGTTGTTTCCGGCACAGCGCCTGCCTACTCCTCCGTCGCTCTCTCCACAGGCGCTAGGCGTCCTCTTGCTTCCTCAGAACATCCCGCCCAGCCTGAGTCTGCTAACGAGCATGGTGGACGACATGTGGCACTACGCCGGGGACCAGTCAACCGATGTGAGTGCTTTCTGCAGCCCACATGGCGCCAGGAAAGGTGTGGTTAAGCACCTCCTATTACGCTTGTGACAATTCTTTGATTAGAAATCCCTTCGGGGAGTTGGCAGTGTCTCCCATCTTGCCAAGGAGAGGCCCAGGTTTGAGGGGAGTCCCCCAACAAGCCCCAGGGGCTCCCTCGGCTGTCCACGTTCGTTCCCAAGTCCACCCGCTGGGGACTGAGACTGACCAGGTCACTCAGGGTAGAACTTGCCCCAGAGCCAGCATCTGAACCACAGCCCCGTGATAATTCCTTGAAGCCAACACAGTGGGGCGCAAGCATCAAGAGGGCCTTGTGCCTGGGCTGCTCTTTCATAACTTCCTGCCTGTCTCCTGAGGTGAGATGCTGAGGCAGACTTTCTGCATGTGCCCATCAGGAGACTGATTTAAGAAACAGAATACCATGGAGACACCCACTGCTTGAAAAGGAAACTTCCTCCCCCAACCCACCTTGCTCTGCTTTCTAAGAGCTCCATAAATCTTTATAAACAGGCAAAACTGGCTCATTAATGCTTTCGTATTTCTGCTAGAAATTTCTTAAAAACACCCCTTCGTAAAAGAAATTAATGCATGATGGTACCTTTGTGGAATCCAGCGTGGGGAGGCAGAGACACCCCCCACCCCAGTTCTAACAAAGTGCTTTAATAAACTTGCCCTGTGTGGGAAAATACCACCAACAGAGATGGTAGGAAAATAAAATTAGAAAGCAAAGAAATTAAAGGAATAAAACACAAAGCTGCTGAGCTAGTGCACTTAAGAACAGCTACCCAGGGCCCTAATCGCCTGGAGCCTTCCTCAGCTTCTTAAAGCCACCCCTGACTCCTAAAGCCTGGAGGCCCTGAAACTTAGCCTTTCACCAGCTCCTCCAAACCATCTGGGATGCAGATTAAGCTTCCCATTCCTCGAGTTTACTTCAGACCCTCAGACTAAACTCTCAAGAGGTTGGGCCCAGGAGTCTGCAATTTTAGTGCAGCCTAGGTGATTCTGCGGGCCAGTCAGGTATGGGCACAGAAGGCCTTCTATCTGGGAAGCAAGGACTTGGGGAGGGAGCCCAGGAGTGCCGGTGGCTTTGGGGAGCACCTCCCCCAGACCAGCGGTGGTAACCCACCTTTTGGTGGGTTTCTTTGCAGTTCAACTGGTACACCCGCCGAGCTGTGCTGGCTGGCATCTACAACACGACAGAGCTGGTGATGATGCAGGACTCCTCCCCAGACTTTGAGGACACTTGGCGCTTCCTGGAGAACCGGATTAACGATGCCATGAACATGGGCCACACTGCCAAGCAGGTAGCTGGGGCCTGCTGTTTGGGAGGCCACCGCCTCGGGCCACAGTGTGACTGACAGTTGGGAGCCTTCCGGGGGACCTGGCTGTTCCTCACCCCAGCCTGGCCTTTTTGTGATTGTTGGGGGTATGGGCTCTTCCTCCAGGACACGGGGTCCTCGTGACTCCAACTGCAGAGGCTCCTGACTTATCCTCCATCTCGCTTTTGCACTGGGGATCAGATTTGAAAGAGCCTGACTCTGTCTCCTCCTAGGTAAAGTCCACTGGAGAGGCGCTAGTGCAGGGACTCATGGGTGCCGCAGTGACGGTGAGTGCCGCCCGGCCCCCTGCCTGCCCCGCCCCCTGGCTCTGTGGGCGACGCAGCTGTGTCGCCCCGATGGTTTTCTAGTCTTCAGCGGGAAGCTGAGAGTGATTTCATCCGCTCATTCTAAGCGCCCCATCAGGAGCACTGCTGAGGCAAGGCACAGCCTCATCACTCTGTTTCCATTCCTGTGACAGCTCAAAAACTTGACGGGTCTGAACCAGCGCCGGTGAGCGGGAAGGAGCCAAGCTCGAGTGCCCTGAAGAAACCCCCTACGGATAGATTTAAAGAGCTTTGAAAAGTGCCATCCATGTAACAGGGTGGTGATGAGAAGATACCAAAGGACTCCTGAGTCGCTACCACAGCCGCCTGGAGGCCCGGGTTTGGGCCACTTCTTCAGGTCCTAGTACCGGCCTGGCCTAATACCTTTCTGTATGGCAGCTGTGTGATTGAATCCAAGCATTCGTTCAGCAGAAAGCCACCCCATCTCTATCATGGTCTCGCAGACACCTCAATCATGTCTTGACCCACTTGGAAATGCTCTGCGGGCTCCCAAGCCTGAAGCCACCACAAGGCGGCAGCCCCTGCGCGGCACAGCACAGGCGTCGGCACGCAGGCCCGGGTACGCAGGCTGTCCTCAAAGCTCCTGGCCTCTTCTCCACTTGCCGTGCTGCACCTGGGAACCCCCTCAGAAAACTGCCTTATCTGAGACAGGTGCTTGCTGAACAGTGGCGTCCAGCCTGGTCAGATGCGTGAGCCTCAGCCTGGAGTCCCGTCACACCAGCATGCATGACAGGATCCTTAGTGAACCTAGGTCCTATAAAAATAATAAATATGTTTGAAGCAGTCTGCTGCTGTGTAGTCGGTCTCCACACAGACGGCAGCAAGCGTCTGATGGAGATGCAAGCTTGAGGCTGGCAGCTGCTCGGGCCCTGCTGCTGCTGAGCCACTCTGGGCCCAAGGCAGCTCCGGACTCAAGTCTCTCCACTAGGGAAACGTGAGTGGTGATGCCTCCTCCCTCACTACTAATTTCTTCAGCTGTCCTCGCTCATCGCCAGCCATTTTAGTGATGTATTGTTTGACCTTAGTAGTTCTCTTTGCCTTTACACTGGCTGGCTCCCTTAACTCTTGTATTTGTCTGCTCAGCTGCTATAACGACATGCCGCAGAATGGGTAACTTAGGCGTTTCTCACCATTTGGAGGCCGGGCAGTCCAAGCTGAAGATACCGGTCAGTTTGGTTCCTGGAAGGGCTTTCTGACTTGCCACCTTTTCCCCGTACCCTCACCTACCTGGAAAAGCAAGCAATGGTGTTGCTTCCCGTTTTTGCAAGGACACAAATTCATCACAGTCCTACTCTTGACCTCCCAAAGACCCCATCTCCAAACTCCCCACCAATTAGAGTTGCTCTTCATTCCAGCAGGATGCTATTCAGTCCGTAGCATCTCTCTTCCGCTTTGCTGTCTCCCATTAAGCGGACCGAATACTGACGGGGGATGTTAGGAGCTGCTAGGTGCTTGCCATCTCTGTGGCCTCCCACTGGCCCCTTTCTGCAGCTAATCCTTTTTATCTCTCCACACCTTGTTAAGATCCCTGCACTAGCCATTTCAAGTTTTATTCCATCTTCTTATCCTTCACAGCTTTCCTTTCAGCAGACAACCTTAATTCTTCCCTGAGATAGCACAGCTCTAGGGAAGAGCCCCCTCCATGCCCTCTCTGCCTCAGGAAGATGCATGAGTCCATCCTGAGGCAAACTCATCTTCCTGCAACTCCTAATGATTCCTGCCCCAAGTTCTCTTTTTGAGGAGCTGCTGCTTTTTTGAGGCCCATTCAAACCTCTCCAGGCTATTTAGAGGGCTTAGGTAATTCTTTGAGCAGAAATGAAGATCCCTCACCCCTGTTCTTCCCCATACACACATGCACACACACAACTGCAAAAGTGGAGCCTGGTGCATTTTAAGCAATCTTCCTGCAGTTTCAGAAGACCCAAGGGTGGCCGTGAAAGTATATACATTACTAGTCAACTACACTTGGTCAAAGTATACTCATTGCTAAAGTGTACTTTTGCTTTTCCATAAATGTACAAATGCCTTTTCAAAGGCGTCATAGTAATCCCTTATTTGTGTATTTAACCAGGCCTCTGCCAGTGGGCAGTGTTTTCTTATCTTTCGCCATCATCAACATGCTGCAATAAACATCCCAGTAAACTTATCTTTGGTTACAACTGCAAGTATTTCTGCAGTGTGGTTTCCTAGAAGTGTTATTGAGTCAGGGGCGTGTACGGCATTTGTCAGATCGCCCTCGGTGATGGGTGAAGCCGGTGCCTGCGAAGTGGGCAGCCTGGAAACCAGCGGGCAGTTCCGGCCTCCGAGCTGCAGGCGGCGCTGTGAGCGCGGGCGCGGCGGGGCCGCGTGACGTAATTCCGGGGACGGCGGCGGGGGCGGCGCGGCAGTGCTGACGCCGAGAGGCCGGGCAGACGGCGGAGCGCGATGCCCTACGCGAACCAGCCCACCGTGCGGATTACGGAGCTCACCGACGAGAATGTCAAGTTCATTATCGAGAATACGGACCTGGCGTGAGTCTGTGAGGGAAGAGACGGCGGTCTGGGGCGCTGGAGGCCGAGAAGGGGCGGGGGTCGCGTCCTTCGGGAGATGGTCTCCCCGACCTCCCCACCTCCCCGTGGCTGGGCCGCCCTTTGGGGAATGCGGAGCTGAGCTGTCTGGCCGTCCTCACGTCTCTTGGTTTTCATCGCTCAGGGTGGCCAATTCCATTCGGAGGGTCTTCATCGCCGAGGTGCCCATAATAGGTGAGCGACCCCCGCGTCCTCGTTGCCAGGGCTGCCCGTGCCCGTCACCCCGCCTGCCTCGCATCTCGGGGGGGGCTGGGGGGTAGGGGGGTGACGCGGGGAAACAATGCAGTGCAGGAGACTGGATCGCACCTGTTTCCGACCACCTCGCCGCCTCTAGGGTGCGCTCCTGGCTGTACGTGGCCAAGGGCTTGGCTTCGAATACTGTTTTCATGAACATTGGGCAAGTTATTAAGCCTTGTTCCGCAGTTTTCTCTAGCATCACCCACGCGGATAGTACGCATCGGGAGGATACAGGCATGGAGTGAGTGTTCAGTACTGGTGGTTTTTGGTTTTGGTTTTTAGTAATGACTTCCCTGGACTGCATTTATGGAGCGTGTGAGCGCCAGACAGTGGTGCTAGGCTCTGGTCATGCAGCGCTGTATAGTACAGGGCTCTTGCCTGTGCTACAACCCCTCATGGAACTCACTGTGACTTGGCAGGTGAATCCACAGGCCACACAACACTAACACAGCACCGACTGGCAGCAGTAGTTCAGGAGACGCAAGGCTACGAAGCTTTTGGTGCTTCGAGGAGGGAGGATCTGTTTGCTTTCTGGCTGGTTACCCAGCTCCAGTGTCTAACACATTGATAAACGTACAAATATTTTCCTGAGTGTCACCTCAGAGAATTTGGGTTAGCAACAAAATGTAAGTCATCAAGCCTGCAGACTCTTAAAATCAGAGTAATTGACCCACCACTACCACCTCCATCACTTCTTCAGTAAGGCTTGGGGTGCTGCCTCTTGCCACATCACTTCACATCTCAGAACTGCGGTTTCCTCTCAAATAAAATGAAGGAGTGGTGCTTTATAACGCACCCTTGACATTCCAAGTCTAAATGCTTCTTTTCCCACAAATTCAGTTCTGCAAAGAAAATAGGAAGAGCTAGGAAGACAAAGATTGCCTCAAGGAAGTTGTGAAGCTTGAGGTAGAGAGCAGACACACACAAGCATAACAAGGTAAAACAGGACAAGTGGAAAGAGAGGTTTGAACAGACTCACGCTGTAGAAGGGAGAGGTTGTGTCCAGTGCATGGGGGGCAGGCAAGATGAGGTTTTCAGGGCGGCTTAGAGGGCCTCGGCCTGCACAGAGGAGGCTGAGAATGTGCTCAGTGGGGCCAGGGGAGGAGAGTTGAGAGGCAGAAAACCTTGGCTCGAGGTCCTTGGTTGACTTGAGCTGGAGAAGCAATGGAAACTTAGGGCAGAGCACGTGGTTCTTCCCTGACTTCCACTCCTACTGCCCACTTCCAGTTTACTGACCATGAGGCTGTATGTTAGTCGGACTCCAGTGTCACTTTGCTTCTGGATTTGTTTCTGTGTGGATGCTGATTTGTGAATGAATAATTGTGTGGTTATGTGTGAAAATACAGTCCTTGCCTTTACTAGGCTTTTATGCGAAAGGAATTCTGTGAACCAGTTGATTGAGTGCAATAAAGTTAAATTGGGTAAATCTGGTCATTTTATCCTAAGATGAGGTATTCCTATTTTATCCTAAGATTAGTCTGTGTTTCTTCCATGAGGGAGGTTTGCCCTCATTTGTAAGTGCCCATATAATTTGTGTCCTTGAATTTGTATGAATAGAAAATTTAAGTGTTTGTCGCAGAAACATTCAATTTAAATGTTGGTCTGGGAGTTAAGGTGGCCTTGCCTAAGTCTCAGCGCTGTCACCCTGAAGGCCTGAGTTAGATCCCTGGCCAGGGAGATGACCCATATGGCGCAGCAGACCTCTCCTGTCTCGCCCGCTGCTCCCCTCAGCAGTGGATGAATTTCAGTGGATTTGCCTGTTCTGCCCCCCACTCTGTCTCTAATGAATCCTCTCACCTCCCACACCTCTGGCCTGCACCCCAGTTCTTGTGTGAATAAATAAATAAATATCTTTTAAAATAACAATTCAGCTTAAACATGTTCTCCCTATGGAATGATACTCCGAGGCAGTTCATTACAAAGGGGGGAGAGGTGGGAGGACATAGTGCACATGGTTCTTACTCCAATGCAGATCTCTGGGCCCTGGGCTAGAGCTGAGGGTGCAGCCTCTGCCACTTTTAACACCAAGTGACTCTGTATCATGAGAACCATTACTCTGAACCATGACCACTCAGTGGCTAAACAGCCTGTCTGCTCCTCTCACTTTTTAGCCATTGACTGGGTTCAGATTGATGCCAATTCCTCAGTCCTTCATGACGAGTTCATCGCTCACAGGCTTGGTGAGTGCTGGGTTTGGGAGGGTGAAGGGAGGGAGCTGTGCTTGGTGTCAGCAGGAAGCCACCTCACTCCTGAGGGCACTTCTTGCTTCTGGTTTGACCTCGTGACTTCTATAAGATGCTCTTCTGTGTCTTCCAGGGTTGATCCCCCTCACTAGTGATGACATTGTGGACAAGCTGCAGTATTCCCGGGTACGCCTGCGGTTGGGTGGAGTGGGAGGTGTGGGGTTGCGGTACTCAAAGGAATGTTTCTTGACATCATCTAGCTTCTAGAAAAGACAACATGGAGATGTTTTCCGGAGCCCAAGGGAGGTGTTTTGTCCTTGGTTCTGATGGATCACAGATTGAGTGGGCTCGTGGGGCATGAGGGAGTCTCATTAGCCAGGCACAGAAGACAGGATATACACTAAGGGGCCCACTTATAGCAAACTGGGGTGCTCTTCCTTTTCAGAGTCTGATCTGGTCCACCTTCCAGACTCTCTCCAGTGACACAAGCCGAGGGGGCTAAGGGAAGTCCGAAGAAGTTTGGGGAGGGGCTGGAGAAGACAAGGAGAAGCAGCTCTGGGGGACTGGCGTGGTGGCATCTGCCAGTTGCTGCCTCTCCTGGGGGGGTCAGTGGGGGCCTTGCCCTTGGGCTGTGTTTGCACTCTAACTTGGTAGCTGAGGGCCAGAGAGAGGGTGGGACAGGATTGGCCGACCTGCATCTTTCCCGGGGGCTGGGGCTGCACTAGATAACGTTGAGCTCTGGTGCCTCAGCTGTTTCGGGTTATCAAAGCTCCTGGCATACTCCTAAGAGTGTGGCCTTTTGTGATGGCTCATTTGGTCTTGAATGAGGTAGGGTGGAAACTATCAAAAATAAGTTGGACTTTCCTCACTGGTGTGAGGGGAAAACAGTGTGATCACTTTCTAGTAATACTCCTCCTGCCTGATGTTACCTTGTAGCTAGAATCCCTCCTGTGGGAATGTTTAAAGAATGGCCAACTGTTGGCCACTGAAACGGAGCGATTACGTGGTGACAGCCTGTTAACCTCTTGAATGAATGGAGTTTTCTGTAATAGTGAGTCTTTTTAAAGAAAAGGTTGGTGGTCTGGAAAGGCTCTTTCCCTCTGTCCCTTCGCGGCTTGCTTAAGCGACAGCTACTTTCCGAGCTAGTGCGCTGAAGTCCGAGCTCACGGGAGCCGAGTCAGGAGCTGGAAAGCACCCGCCTGCCTCTTGGCCTTGGCGCTCCGGGGAGTGTGCTCTCCGGGCGTGCTCGCCGGCGGCCTGGCAGCTGGCTGCCAGCGCAGGGAGGTTGTGCCGGCACTACGCTTGAGCAGCCGAGCCGGGACACACCACTGACGCCGCCCACGAGAGCCTGGCGGGAGCAGCCCTCGGTGCAGATGGTGCCGACACGGGGGTTGGCCTGGAAGCAGCCCCGGCACGCTCACCGGGAGTCCCCGTGGGCTCAGCGCTCCTCTCCCCGCCGCAGGACTGCGCATGTGAAGAGTTCTGCCCTGAGTGCTCGGTGGAGTTCACGCTGGACGTGCGCTGCAACGAAGACCAGACTCGCCACGTCACGTCGCGAGACCTCATCTCCAACAGCCCCCGAGTGATTCCGGTCAGTGTCTGCGAACAGCCTCCCTAGCCAGGATCGCTGAGGGCCAGACGGGCGGCCTGTTGGAGATGCAGACTCCCTGTGCTCCCCTCTGCCTTAACGTGACGCCACTCTGGACCCCGCCAGGGTGGGGCTGCTGCTGCTCTGTCCTCTGTCCTCCGAAGGCCACAGCAGTGGTGGGGAAGGCTGTCAGAACACGCGGCGGGGCGGGCGTCCTGCCCCGCACGGGTCAGGCCTGGTGGCGCTTCTGCCACCGCATCCCGGGACCCCAGCCCTGGTTTGGCGGGTTGTCCGTGCAGGGGGCTGGGGAGCTAAGTAGCTCATCGATGCCTGTTTTGGGCTCCTGACAGGTAACATCCCGGAACCGAGATAATGACCCCAATGACTACGTAGAGCAGGACGGTAAGGGCTGGAGCGAGGGTGTAGACGTTGACTCACTTGTCTGTCTGTGGGCCAGCAGGGAGGTGGAGACCAGACACACAGCCTCCCGCACCGCCTGGTCTTCTTGTGTCTGCCCGTGTCCCTGTCACGATGTGGCGGGCCATGCCATTCCTGGCCCTCGTTGGCTGACACCTCTCCCCACAGACATCCTCATCGTCAAGCTGAGAAAGGGCCAGGAGCTGAGGCTTCGCGCCTATGCCAAGAAGGGTTTTGGCAAGGAACACGCCAAGTGGAACCCCACCGCAGGGGTGGCTTTTGAGTATGACCCCGACAATGCCCTGAGGCACACGGTGTACCCCAAGCCAGAGGAATGGTAAGTTGGGAGTGAAGCAGGCCCCTGGGGGCGGGGCTGGCAGTGGCTCAGGTGCCCGAACAGCAGCCGGAGCCACGTTGTGTGACCCGTGTTTGACCGCAGGCCGAAGAGCGAGTACTCAGAGCTGGATGAGGATGAGTCACAGGCTCCCTACGATCCCAACGGCAAACCAGAGAGGTGAGAGCAGGCTGGCACCTGGACAAAGGCGTGTGAGAGCGTAGCTTGGGCGTGGGCTCTTTAGGAAGACCCTTCCCGCACACCCCCTTCCTGGAAGCTGAGGGGGGCTGGGAACTGCCAAGCCCGTCGCATGCAGGTCCGGGGCAGGTTCTCGTCACCCTTTCGGTCACTGAGAAAGTGTCCAGGGAGCCAGGCTGTTCTCTCCTGGTTTTTAGTCTTCAAACAAGGGCATCAGCCCGGGACCAGAAACCAACCCACATTTTCCAGTGCCAGGTATGAAAATGCTGGCGCCTCTGACGCTGCCTTTTCACCTTCAGCGTGGGTGTGGCCATGCAGGTGTTCCCGTTACCCCCGCTGAGGTAGCCTCACTGGTTTGTGGTAACGCATGGCGACTGCTGTTTTTGAAGTTGGAGGTCAAGCCCGGACCAGGCTCCTGGGAGAAGGAGTCAGGACCCAGAGGGGGAAAGGAGGTCCAGGCCTACCCACAGGGCTCTCACCTGCCTCTTGCCTCTCAGGTTTTACTACAACGTGGAGTCCTGTGGCTCTCTGCGCCCTGAAACCATTGTCCTCTCAGCTCTCTCTGGATTGAAGAAGAAGCTGAGTGACTTACAGACCCAGTTAAGCCACGAGATTCAGAGTGACGTTCTGACCATAAACTAACTGCAGCTCGCCTGTTTCAGGAAAAGCGGAGCGCCCGTAGCTGGCCTCCAGGTCTCCTGAGTCTGCTGGCTTCCAGCCTCAAGCTTCTGCCTCTGCCAGTGAAGTAGTGGTGAGGTCCTCGCAGGGCATCACCAGGGCAGTTTTCCACTGGGCAGTAGCATCCCTGGCCTGCAGCTGGTTGCCAGTGGTGCTCCCCAGGATGTCCCCTCCACCCGTCACCCCGCTGAGCCTGTGGGGGTCCTACTGCTTCCCTGTTAGGGGCCACCTGAGCTGGGTGCCTCTCTCAGGCCTTTTCTGTCCAAAATGACTTCTTGCCTTGTACTGGGGTGTCGGTTAGGGCCGAGCCGCCTGCGAGCCCTCCCGTCCCTGCACTCCACTCACTCTCCCAGCCCCGACTTTGAGATGCGTGTTAGACCCCACCGGACCCACAAGCCCAGCTCTGCCCGCGGTGAGGACCCCCACCGGTGGTCTGGTGCATAAGGGGAGGGGGTGTGGAGGCAGGCCGGGCTTCAGTGGAGACCTGGCCTGACCCGTGGCCCTGGAGGTGGTAACATACTGACAGCAGTTCATTAAGCAGCCTGGCAGGAGAAAACCAGAGATCCAGAACAGAAAGGAAAGGATATTTATTGATTAACAATAGTTGTCCTTTTTAAAAGTTTTTATTTTTGGCAATAAAGAGCACAATATAATCTCCTTCATGCGTCATCGTGCCACTAGCTGAGCCAGCCAGCTCTGCCTCCCACTCCAAAGCCTCTGGGCTGGGCTCCCTTCAGGCTAGCTTACGCCTCTGGGTGGTCTCTCCTGGGTTAGTTAAGAGCTGAGCTGGCCATGGCCACCTCCCTGGCTCCAGGGCTCTGTGGGGGTGGGGGGAGGTTCTTGCTTTACCATCCTCCTGCACAACTTGAATAGTGGTTATTTACAACAAGGTCTGTTCCCACAAATCAGAACTCTAAAATAAAATAAAAAAGAAAATACACGCAACCAAAAGTTTGATGTGAATAGAAAGATAGCCCTTCTGCACGGTAAGTCAATAAATACCAGCACTAGAAAATCAATTGCTTTAATTGCATTTCAGCAGGGGGCCTCAGCACCATGTGGGGAGAGGGAAGGGGGAGGTTTCCCAGTGCTCCTGGCTGGCCAAGGGCGGCCAAGCACAGGGCAGAGGCGCCTTGTCTGCTGCATCATTGCCCAGTCACGGAGAGGGGGCAGTAGGGGTGTACCCCACAGTAGTCCTGCTACAGCCTCCCCTCCTGGCCTGATCCTGGGGTACAAAAGAGCTCAGGCCTGGCCATCCTCTGCCTGGCTGAGGTCACCAGCACCCCCACCACCAGGGTGTCTTCTCAGCCTACTGAGCAGGAAGGAGCCCGGGCAGCAAGTAAACTAAAACCAGATTTTCCCCTGAGGTGCCCACCAGAGGTCACCTCTGCTTAGAACGCCAAGTGCAAGGCTACCGAGCGGCGCGGTCGAAGTTCAGGTCCTCCCTGGGCCACGCCAGGCCCAGAGGGACTGCGGCCACCTGCTGCCTGAGGCTGGCAGCTCGGGAAAGCCAGTGTCCAGTGCGGCCTCAAGCTCTGATTGTCTCCCTCTGCCCTGGCGGCTCAAGCGAGTCCTGGCGGCAGGAGGGCTGTTCCACAGGGACAGGAAAACGGCTGCCCTCAGGTTCAGAGCAGCCGTGACTGGCCTGCTCATGGGATTAAAAAACGTATGTGGTGGCGGGAAGGGTCAAGGGGAATCTCATATAGAATATGTCATAAGCCGTATATATTAAAATCATTAACGTGTATATAGTCCCACGGTAGCTCCAGCCCCTCACACATGCTCAGGTGGTGTGGCCAGCCCTCTGCTCGGTCCAGCCTCACCTCTGGGGCAAGGAAGGGACAGTTTGCTCCCTTTCTCCAGGCCGTGGCCAGCAGCCCCGAAGCTGTTGACTGCAGGCAGCCCCAGCAGTCACTGTGTGCCAGCCCTGCCGTCACAGGGATGGGGTCTTGGCCTCGCCGCTGTCCCCCTGCCTGGGCTTTGGCTTCAGCAGGATGAATCTGTTGAGGAGGTCCGTCTCTGAGCTGGCCTGGGCGGCCCCATAGCCCTCACCTGCGGACACAAGCAGGCCCGGGTCTCAGGTCCAGGTCGAGAGCTCCCTGCCTGACACACCTTGTCTCCCGCGGAGCCTCCTGGCGGGCGGGGGGCACGCCCACGACTCACCGGCATAGCTGGAGGCCTCGGCGATGTTCTGGGAACCCGTGATGTGGTGCCAGTAGGCACTGCGGGGCAGCATGGTGGTGGGTGTGCAGGGGTATGAGTAGTGCTCCGTGCCCTTGTTCAGCAGCTGTCAGGCAGAGAAGAAGGGGATCCCTCCCCTCAGCCCCGGGGCACGGGCAGCCGCTACACACTAGCTGGAGACAGCCGGCGCTCCGGGCCCGACCCGCGTGCCCACCAGCCTCCCGTGCCCAAGGCGGAGATACCCCTGCCTCACCCTCACGTTCTTCTCCATCTCCAGCAGGACCCGCTTGTGCTGCTCGGCGATCGCCAGGGTGGCACTGTGGACCCGCTGGTAGATCTGCTCCCCCTCCTGCGTCTGGAAGGTGTAGAGCCCTTCCCCGGCGTCACACATCCTGGGGACCCAAGTGATGCGCCTGGAGGGCCGGGCGGCGGGGACCAGCCGTGCACATGCGCATGCTGTCCTGCACAGCTCGAGCTGAACCCCAGGGGGCATCTGGGGGTCTGACCGTACATGCTGAGCGCTGCCTAGGTGCCAGGTGGAGCCTACACGCTGCACCGGGCTCAGCCCCGCGCCCACCGCCCACCTGTGGCCCGCGCACCGTTGCGGTTCCCCCATGATGAGTTTTCTCTAACCAGTTTACCGGCGAGGACACCAAGTCACGCAGGAGTGGCCAGGCTTACACATGAGTTACGCGGCCTGTAAGCCATGGGTTCCCCGGTCCTCACCGCACTCTGTGAGGCTGGGTACTTCCATTACTCCCCGTCTCACAACAGAGGAAACTGACCCAGGGCCATCTGGCTTGTGCCAAAGCACCGGACCTGTCGGCCGTGAGTCTGTTTCTTTATCTGTAAAACGGGGATATTAAGTTCCCCTCTGACTTGCCGTGCCCAGAACGTGTGCACAGCACAGAGCCCAACAGAGTGAGGGGAAGCCACCGGCGTGACTGTGCAGACCGGCGAGGACAGGGTCCTACCGGCCAGCCTCGAAGGTGAAGCGGGTGGCGTCCCGGCCATAGCGGCGCAACGAGCAGAGAGGCCACGAGACGAGCTTCACGCGGGGGTTGTGTATGTCCCAGAGGTAGATGTTCTCGTGGGTGATCTGCAGCTTACACTCGCCATACACGTCCAGGTTGGGGCAGGGTAACAGGAAGACGTTGAAGCGATCTGGAGTGGGAAAGCCAACGGGCCCGTTGCTGCTTGCAGGGAGGCCTCTCACCCCTCTCCCCCCGCCACCCCCAGCCAGCGCCGGGCCTCACCTGTCTGCTCACACTGCACCCCTGGGGCCAGGAGGTCCGGTTCTCCCAGACTGATGTCGTTGAGCCGCGACCCCAGGCACTCCACGGACAGGGTCTTGTACCACTCCTCCGCCTCCAGCTCTGGAGAAGATGGGACCCCCTCATGCTGTCAGCCCCCACCTGTGCGAGCCCACCTTAAAAGGCAGGGAGGGTACTGCTCACGGACTCTCCCTGCCTGCCTCACCTCATCCTGAGGCCTGTATCCTTCACCCCAACTCCCACCCATCACACCCCTGCTGTCTCCTACCAACTGGCCCACAGGCCACCCAGGCCTACAGAGCTGGCCCCTCACCTGAGTCGCAGGTGAATGTCCTGGCAGAGTCATCTGTGAATATGATGGCCACCGCCTGCCTCTTTGTCTCCTTGGGGAGCCGTGTGACGCACTTGACATTGCTGATCTCGGTCACCTGGGGCAGCATCCATAAGGGACTCAGGCTGAAGCACCGCCCTCCACATTCCCCACAGCTCTGCCACCCCCCAAAGGATGCTTTTGGGCCTTGGGACAAGTCATTTACAGGTTGGGGAAACTAGGGCCCAGGCCCCCTAACCTTGGGGCAGCCTCGGAGGCACACGGACTTCTCGTCTGGATACTTCTCTAACCGTTGGGGCCCTTTGCTGGAAGACTTCCGGAAGACCAGCCAGCACCTCCGGTAGATCTGGGGGGCAAGAGAACAGGGGCGTCAGGCCTCCCTGGACCAACAGCCTTGCAGTTGCCCCTGCCTCCTGCAGGGGGCGGTGCTGCACAGCATCCTGGGAACCTGAGCCAGGAGAAACCGTGGGGACATCTGACACAGTGACAGACCATCCCCCCCCAGTAGACCCCCCTCTCCAATTTGTGACCAGCTCTGAAAGGCCGTTTCCCAAAGGGTGCGCCGGACTTGCCAGCTACTGTGAGTTCAGCTCTGAGTTTAGTGAAAGGCCAACAACATTTGCGTGCATCCTATTGCTCTACTTTGGGTCCTAATCTCAGGGCCACTCAAGGTTCGTTCTGTTCTCATCACCTCACCTCTTTTCAGATGGGGAAACAGGCCTGAGGCACCAAAAGCCACGTTAAGGTTGATATATGGAGCCGTCTAGATTCCAAAAGCCAACACGTGGAGCCTTTGTGCGCGACACCATGCTGGGGCTTCAGCAGCGCCTCTCAGCCTCCCACAGCAGTGTCCGAGGACAGTGAACAGACCTGGCCCCATCCAGCCTGCACCCTGCCACACCCTTGTCCTCAGGGCCAGAGAGGGTGCTATGTGGTGACACCCCCACTCGGCTCAAGGGCCTCTCACTAGCCCTCTCCGATCAACCCAGGAGAGCAGGGGCAGGGTGAACTCCCTGTCCCAGCTGGGCAGGCCAGAGGCTCTTGCAGGGTAGAGTCTGAGGAGACCCCAGGGCACAGCCTGTCCCCAGCAAGGCTCCCTCCTTGTGCAGCCACCGCCGATGACCCTGTGCCTAAAACCACTTCATTCTCTATGGCTTCTTGGCCTCCTCCCAAGGAAGAAGCTGGGGAGAGGGCAGCTGACCATCCTCTAGGGCTAGCGGGGCAGCTGGGTGTCAGACCCCTCAAAGGGTGGCCCCAGCCATCTGCCCAGGCTGCTGTCTCTTCCTTCCGCAGCCTCTCCCAGCCCTCATGTACTCCCCTGGGGTGCAGCTAGGGTGTACCCACTCTTGCAGCGGGCACTCCATAAGCTAGGCGAGCCCACCCAAGATGCCCTGGTGCTCCTACATGGCAAATGAAGGGGGTTGAGGAGGTGAGGGGGGCCTCGGCCCCAACCCCAGCTCCCTCCCCATGCCCCGCAGGGTGGGCACTAGGTCCTCAGCATGCAGGGCGGGGTGGGTCTAGCGAGGCAGACCGCACCCCAAGAAGGCGCTGGTCATTTCCGACTCCTGTGTGGGGCCCTGGGAGGCTGCTATGCCCCTGACCCTGGCCTATCCATCCAGCCATGGCAGGCCTCAGCTCGCAGCTGGGGCGCTCCTTCAGAGCAGACACTGTTTTGTTCTCAGAATCCTTACTCACATCCTGGTAGTTCTAACAGAGCTCCGCTGGCTGAGCAGGTGAATGAAGGGTGAGTGAATACGGATGGAAGGGTGGGTGCTGCAGACCCAGCTCTGCCCTGCCACTGGGCTCTGTGCAGCCTACAGCTTCGGGGCAGAAGGCCCAGGGGCCTGAGCACCCTGGTTGCCTGGTTACAGGACAGGGGACACACACACACACACACACACACACACACACAGCCCCAGGGAGCCCCGCTCAAGAGCCCTCCTTCCCACTTCTCACAGGTCTTTGATCAGCACTTCAGAAACACTCTCCCACAGCCCAGCCTCTGCCATGGGAGGAAGACCTGGCAGGTGGGAGGGGGCTACTGATCTCTTCTAGCCCCACAGAGGAGATTGGCTGCCCTAGGGGTCTGCCCCCCAGGTTTGCAGAGGGAAGCCCAATTATTTGAATGGGATGCAGGGGGCCAGACTGCGCTGCCTGACCACACCCCAGCTTCTAAAGGCTCCCTCAGGCTGAGCCGCCTTGGGGTCACTTGGGTTCCCAGGCCTCCGTAACAGGTTTCAAGCTCAGGTCTGACAGCCCAAGTGGCTGCCTCCAGTGACCTGCTTCCTGATAAACTCTGCCCCGGACAGGCCCAAGGCCCAGCTGGCCCCGGTGGACTTAGGCGGTCAGGGGCCCTCAGGTTGAGGCGCCCACCAGATGCAGGACCCCCACCCATTGCCTCCCAGCTTGCTCTGTGCTCCCAGAGGTTCAATTCCTCACTCAAGGCAAGAGCTGGCCTCTGCCAGAGCCCAGACTTTGGGGCGGGGGCAAATTCACACGTGCCCACCAGCTCATCGGCTGCCCCTGCCTGGACAGAACACCGGCTCCTGGGGGCCCTCAGGGCCACGAGGTGGCAGAGGAGGACCAGGGGCCGCCCCTCCGCCAGGCGGCCCTGCGGTGTGTAGTTCCCAGGCAGGGAAGCCTGGTACAGGAGCCCCACTCCTCCCCCACCCCAGCAGGCAGAACCAGGAAGCCATTGAGGTGGGGGAGGGGAGGAAGGAAGGGCTAGGAGACCACCTCGGCCGCCAGAGGCGAGGAGGTCGGCAGGGGACGGGCAAGGCGGCCTCCCAGACCACTAAATCGGTCCCTGGGGTGCCCACTCATGCCCTCGGAGGGGGCCTTCACCTGCAAGGCGCCAAGCGGGTCTGCACCTGGCAGGGGCGTGTCCGAGGCCTCCTCTCCCCAGACCTTCCACGCCCCCAGCTCCGAGCACCCCCAGCTCCGAGCTCCCCGGAGCCTCCACCAACTTGGAGGGAAGCAGCAGTCCCAGGCCGCGCTCGGGGTCCTCATTCACAAACCACACAAACCTCAGCCCGGTGCCCCCACCCCCACTCCACGGCCCCTCTCAAACACTAACAGCCAGAGGAACACCAAGGGGGAAGAAACCCCACTCGAGAGCCAGAGGAGAGGGTGGCGGCGCCCACCTTCCAGGAAAAGAGGCCAGGAGCAGGGCGGAGAGGGGGGGAGGCCGCGGGCTGGGAGGGGACCGGCAAGTGGGGAGCTGGGTCTCCCCGCTCGCCGGCTGGGACACAGCCCAGCGGCATTTCCAGCCGCTCCTGCTCCAGCTGCCAGTGGCGACAACTTCAACAATGCAAGGGAGCCGCCTGCCCGTCGCTGCCACCGCTGGCCCAGCCGCTGGGATGCCAGCCAGCCCGCCGGGCGGGGGCTGCAGCAGGCAGAGCCCGGCCGGGCACATGCCAGGGGCAGCCCGAGACCACAGAGCAGGCGGCCTGGCCTGGGCGCAGCCAGGCACCCCGACTCGCCATGCTCCACACCGCGTCCCGCACCTCCGCGGGCCTCGGGGGCTTGCTCACCCCGAGCTTCCTGCTCTTCATCTTCACGTAGCCCTGTTTGACTATGTCGTTGAAATTGGTCGCCATGGTTTCCCCACCTCGGGTGCCGCCGGCCTGGCTGAGGGGAGGGGAGGGGTGGCCAGGTGGCCTCGGTTTCTGGCTCCAGCTCCGCCGATCACCTGTTCCAGATACTCCCCTGCCGGGGCTGCCTCGCCGGCGCGCCTCACCTCTCCCGCCTCAGCATTGTTCTAGCAGCTCCTTTGGCCGGCGCCTGCTAGAAATAAAAATGACAGGGAGATTAGACAGTGACATCTTTCTCTTCCCCTGGCCGTCTTGCTCTCTTTTTTCCTTCCTCTTCCCACACTCCTCCCTCCTCCCTCCCCTCAGCCCGCCCTTCTTCCTTCCCTTCCCTCCCCACCCCAGGACGGCAGAACCATTCAGGAAAAGCGAGGTGGAGGCAGCCCTAAGGAAAATGGTCCAGCCCAGTCCCCTCCCTCACGCTGGGGCTGGCAGTTAACCCCTTCCTGGAAGGACTGCCTGCCGCCGCGGTCCGGTCCGCCCTGGAGGTGGGGACAGAGGGGGGAGGCGGCCCAGGGGCAGCCGACCGACCCAACGCCAGTTGCAACTTTGGGGAAGACTCAGGGCAACCTGCCAACACAAGGTCCTCTGGGCACAGCAGCCCCTGCTGGAGGGCCTGCCCAGATGCCGGGGATCCCACCAGGAGTGGCGAGGAGTCAGTGCCTGAGTCAACCCCTCGCTCCCTGAGGTTAAAGACAACCTGCCTCCTCGGACTCTGCAGACCCACGGACCCACCCAGTACCTGACTCTCGGCGGCCCCTGACGGAAGCTGCGAATGGTCACCTCAAGCCCACTCAGGCTCTGCTCTGCTCCCCGCCTTGGAACTCTTCCTGGGTGGGAGGGCAGAGTCCATTGGGGCGGGGCCGCAGGTAATGGGTTGGGCCGCTGGAGGTGGCCACTCAGCCCAGGGCAGGAGCAGAGGCCTCACCCTGGCCCAGGCCCTGGGAAGACCGGGCGGGTCTAGGGCGCTGGGGAGCTGGCCAGGCAGGCCATGCAATGCCCGGGGCCCTGAGCACAGGCAGGCAGGCAGCAGTTCGCAAGGAGTCTAGCAATCGCCCAGCCTGGAGCAGAAGACGGGCCAGAACAGAGATTGCGGGGAAGTCACGGTGCAATGGGAAACAGGGGTGCCAGCAGTCACCCAGATTCAGACAGATCAACTGATAAAGAGCCAGCAAGTGAGTGGGGGGTCAGCTATGACCCAGTCCAACACCCTCATTTTACAGATGGAAAAATCAAAGTCGCAGAGGGCTAAGGTCACACAGCAAGCCCGGGGCACAGCCTGGGATGAATCAGAAGTTCTGGAGCGACTGGGGGTGATGGAGACAAGCCTGGGGCTAGGACTCGGTGTGGCTGCCATCCAGGCCCAGGGGGGTATACAGACAACACCCTTCTCCCCCCTTCCTTGTCCCTGATTGCTGGGTGAGAACAGAGCAGCATTTCTGGGGTCAGCTGGGCGTCTGTGCTGCCAGGGCGGGCCCTGGGGCAGGCACGCTGCTGGGTCTGCTGGCAGCTTGACATTAATTAATCTCTTGGAGGCCTGTCAGTGAGTCCCTAACAAGGACCAGATGGGACTACCCCAGTGGGCACACGCAAACAAGGGGAGGAGCCAAGAGGGTGATGCTCCGTGCTCCCAGACACCCACACTGACCTGACGGCCCCTCTTTGGCACCCCCTCAGCAGTTCCCTGCCATTCACTGCCCCTGGGGTCCAGAGCCATCCGCATCCATGCCGTCTGCGTTCTGCTCTCCTCTCTGGAAGGTCTGGTCTGGAGTTCCTCCCTGACACTGAGCCCCAACAGTCCCTCCCCTGCCTACCCAAGCCTTTTCCCAGTGCTGTCTCCAGGGACCTCTCCATACAAATCCCTTCCAGGTAACAGCGAGCAGCCACTAGCTATGGGGGCGAGGGGACCCTTTCAGTCACACCTAATACCTATGAGAATCTCCTGTGCCCGCGGATTCATCCAAGGCAGCCAGGAATGTGGATCCTGTAAGCCACATGACTTCTCAGTGCCTTGGTTTCCCCATCAGTTTAAAAAATGAGGATAAAGCCACCTACTTCAAATGAGGACATGAATTAATGCGGCACCAGCCTGCCCAGTTTGGACTGAGCTTTGAAAACTCCAAAGTCTGTTTTTGCTTCAAGAGCTGCGACTCAGCCAGGGCTATAAAGCCCATACCGCAACCTTCCTCCGGCCAGCACAGGCCTGTTCCACCGGTCACCACCCCAGTGGCAGTCCTCCCCTCCCTCCCCAGGGTGATGGCCACCAAGCTCCCAGAGCGTCCTACATGTCTGTCCACTGGACCACATCCCACCCTGTACCCCAGATCACAGAATCAGCCTCACAGAAAGAAATCTTCGCACGGACACGCACCCTTCCAGGGACTATGGGGAAACAGAGAACATCTCTGGCACCCAGTCACAAAGACTCCTGGCCCTCAGGCCCTAATGAAGTTTGCAAGAGCAAGACCTAGCCTGGGACCAAAATAGCACACAGGGCAAGGGGAGTTGAGAGGGAGGGACAGGGAGAAGGGCCAACAGGTAGACCCACACATTTGACAAGGTATGTGGGGTGACCAGAACCAGCTCCCCTAAAGGACTTTACTGCCGGCAACTCCCTGCACCCTGGGGGTCACTTCCCCTATCACTCGGGAGCCCCCACCAGCTCTTCCAGCTCTCCTTCCCAGCATGGGGCACAAAGCCTAAGAGCTGAGCTCTGAGCACCCAGAGCAGCTAATCAGGGTTCCCAGCAGGCCCTCTCGACCACTTCAGGCAGCAGCCCACCATCCCCACCCCTCCTCCCAGTCCAGCTTCAGGGCAACAGCCTGACCAGGACAGTCTCTGTCTGCCTGCGGCAGGCCCCATGGGCTCCTTCCCCGGGAAGGCCAGACTCTGAAACACCCCTCTCCCCAGGAAGGGCAGGTGACCTGTGTGGGGGAGGGGGATAGCCAAAGTGGCAGGGCTGGGCCCTCCTGCCCACCTGCCTCCTGGGGCAGCCGCTGCAAGCTGCAAGCACTCCCTCCCAGCACCTGGATTCTGCCTGGAGGCTCTGGCTCCAGAACAAACGCTACTCGCTGCTGTTGGCAACCAATGACCGAGCAGGAGCTGCTGCCTGGCTGGCTGGGCCTCTCTACCTCACAACAGGTCGACAGATCGCATCTTATCAGGGCTTCAGGGACAGCCCCACCTGGGCACCAGCTAGCTGTCTCTAGCTGTCTTCACCCTGCGGCAAAGATCCTATCCGCTGGATTATCTCCAGCACCAGGGAAGTTTCCATCACCTATGGTCTGGACTTCTCTTCCGATACAACTGTTTTCAGGGGTGAGGAGGCCACTTCTCCCCAGGAAGCCACCTGAAGCCATGAGGTCTCATCCAAAGCAAATGCCCACTGGGTGGAGGGGGACAGTGTTCGAGGGGGCATCCAAGCACCAGTCCCCTGAAGTCAGGGTGGGTGCTATGTTGCCCTACTCTCTCCTGCCCCCCCCAACCACCTGGCCGGCCTTCCCCACCCCAACCCCCTGGGTGTCCGGCCTCCCAGGCTTCTTTCTTCCCTCACTGTCTAACTCTTCCCACACAGGTCCACCGTACTTGCTGTTCCCCACCTACACTTTTTCCCCCTCACATGATCCCTAGGTTCATTCTATCCCTTCATTCAGGTCTCGGCTCAAAGGTCACCTCCCAGGAGAGGCCTGAGCCCCTGGCCAAAGGAGCCCGCCAGCCAGCCTCCATCACAACACTCAGCCTCACTGTCTTGGTCACAGCCCGGCCGTAGGCTTTCCTCATGCCTCCATCTGTGTGTTTGCTACTCAACCACTCTGTCTCCCAGACCCGCCCAGAATGCCAGCGCCCTGTCGGCTGGGCCTGGCCTGGGACTCCCAGCCAGCACCTAGTGCCTGTGCAGCATAGACACTGGGTACTGGAGAGCTGAAAGCACAATTCTCTCCAGAGTTTGGCCCCATCTTTTCTCCCTCCACCAGAGCTGGCTCAGCTTCTAGAAGTGCGGGAGCAGCAGTGGGCCCCCAGCTCCCTGGATCTTCCCAGTGCAGCAGAGCTAGCACGGTTCTTAGAGAACCAGCCGCACCCCAGCCCCAGATGGTTCAAAGCTGCCTCGGGTGAGAGTCTGCTGACATTGTCCACGCCTGACCAGGTGGCTCCACCTTGGCTAGGGTGGCTGGGTGAGGTCATGCCCAGCCCTGCTGCCCTGTCCCAAAGGGAAGAGCTGGAAGTAGTCAGCACCTAGGCTCAGAGGCAAGCAACTGGGCAGGAGGAGGCACGGCTCCGGGGACTCACTCTGGGATAAGAACAGAAATCGCCTGCTCAGGGCCACCTCCCTCTGAAAAAGAAAATAATCTCACTAAGCAAGTCCAGCCTCCAGCCACTGCGCTGAGTCCTGCCAGGCCACTCACTGCCTTTGATTTTCAGACTTGCTGCCCCAGACCCCCCATTCCAGTGTCCAGGCAACTGTGGTACATCCCCCATCCCCTGACCTCACCGCAGGGGGTGCTGCACAGAGGCCATGCTCTGCCCACATCACTCAGGTGCCCAGCTGTCACTTGTGCCCCTTTGTGGGGACAGAAAGCTAGAACTGACCTTTGAGGCCCTGCAGGAGAGGGGGGCAGGACCCCGGGCCAGGGGAGGAAGGTTCGAGAAAAGGACACAGCTGGCCATGAGTTAAGTGACAGGAGGGGAGCCGTTTGCAGGTGGGGGTGGACAGTGAGGGGCAACTGAGTAGAGCAAAGTCTTGGAATTTGGGGGGGTGGAGAGTTGAGCAGAGGAGGAGGGCAGCACCGGGCTGGGCGCTGGGGATAGCAGGTCTCCAGGAGTTCAGGGGCCCCAGTTTCCTGGAAGGTCTGTAAGAGTGGGGGTGAGGTCAGGCCCGGTCCAGGGGCTCCTGGACAGAAATCTGGGGCTAGATGGACCTCAGGGATAGTTTCGAGGACCCTGGCCGGTTTGGAGGGGGCGGGGCGGTGAGTCTTCCCGAGGGTAGAAAGGTCCTAAGGGTTTGGGGAGTTTTCAGGTCGGGGTCGCCAGGGGTCTCTCGGTCTCCGGCGCGGCCTAGGTCCCCCTCCCCGCCTCGCGCTCCCCTAGTTACCTGGGCGCCGCGGGCCGGGCGGGGACGCTTGCTCGGCGGGACGACGCGCCAGGCTCATGCCCGCGTCACAGCGCAGCCGGC